AGGGCGCTTATACACGTCCCATATTATATGTATAGCTTTCCCTGCCACCACTTTGGGACAACAATTAGGCTGGTGCTGCAATAACCTTTCTCAGCCTCCTTTGCAAATCAAATCAAATCAAATCAAAATTACCTTTATTTGTGTAGACTAATTAAATTAGTACTTACAAATCGTCAAATCCTCTTAAGGAACCTATACATGTCTCATTCTTTTCAATCATACAACATCGCATATACTATGCAGGAATAGTTTTGTACTATGTTCAAAATCAAAAATCAAAATCAAAAGTATTTATTCAGTTTAGACCACAAGTGGCACTTATGAACGTCAAAATTATTATAGAAAATAATAAAAAAGAAAAGTTAGCCCTTATGTTCTCTCTTCATATCAGGTACAGAGGTTGTAAGGCTAAGATGCTGGAAACGGGCGCATGAATATCTATTTTTATAGGGTCTTTCATGTGCATATGAATAACCGTAAACTTTCAATCGTAAGAGGCCTATGGGGCGACGCGTTTGCGTTCGCGCAAAACTGAAAAATCTCCGGCTACTACCGGAATTAACGGAGTACGGTTTTTGAAAGACTTGAAGAAAAGAGTGCGGGTAGTTTCTCCCTAATGTGTAAAAGAGATGGATAGTATTATTGGGTACTAGCTTTCCGCCCACGGCTTCGCCCGCGTGGAATTTTGTCTGTCACAGAAAAACTATATCGCGCGCGTCCCTGTTTCAAAAACCGGGATGAAAACTATCCTATGTCCTTTCCCGGGACTATCTCTATGTTAAAGTTCATCAAAATCGTTTCAGCGGTTTAGGCGTGAAAGCAAGACAGACAGACAGACATAGTTACTTTCGCATTTATAATATTAGTATAGATCATATAGCACGAGGCTACTGTTCTTGCCTGTATTGTGCTAACGCTACGCTAACGTTGCGTTGTTTCTATCGGTTCTCGATTGTAAATCGGTTCAAAGATTGATGGTTAGTGGTTATGCTGCGTTGCAGTCCAACAGTCGCGGTTTGATTACATGGTTTTTGGTTCTGCTGCTTTTGTGTAAACTAACGGAGTGAGAATCAAATACTGACAATATATAAAAGAAAGTCGTGTTAGTTACTCCACTTATAACTCAAGAATGGCTGAACCGATTTAGCTGAAAATTGTCAGGGAGGTAGTTTAGAGCCAGGAGAAGGACATAGGATACTTTTTATCCCGTTCGAAATTAAAAAAAAAGTCTGCTTATTTATTGCCATTAAGGCGGAACAAAGTTCGCTGGGTCAGCTAGTAGGTTTTAAAATCAAGTTAGTTACGGCGGTTAGTATCTCTAATTTACGAGTAATATAATTTTTTGATTTGAATCGGATCAAAAGTAAAGGGATTGGGATGAAGAGAATAAAATCGAAGTCTCTAAAGTTCGATTTCTCATGTAATGAGTATTTTCACAAAACCTAATCCCTAATTTCTAGTACCTGTCTGAATGGTTTGAAATTCAGGAGGATACAACATAATTTTGATACAAGAATGGTTATTATACGTCACTCATATTAAATGTAACGTGAAAGGCCCAAGAGCACCTTAGTCCTTGACCGGCTGAGCGGGATACAATGAAGAAGTCCTCCGGGATCGAGCCCACATAAAGCGTCCGGACCAGTGACTTGTCGGGTGAACTACGTATCATTATAATTCACAGAGGCAAAAATAACATCTACATTATCAATAAAACATTATTTTTTTAATAGTTAAGGTTAATAAATGTGAATGCTAATGTGGTTATGCAATAAAAGTATTGAGTATTGAGTATTGAAATATTTTTACCTTATGCAAATTGAAATTGCTTATTGCAAAAAGAAATGCTGTGTACCTGTAACGCATCTATATGCATCATGTGTTAAACCGTGTTAAAATGTATGAACTGTATGTGACTTTGTTGGTGTACCTAATAAATACATGTTTAGCTCTAAGACACTACAATTTAACATCCAATGTACATACTACATGAAGCACTTTATAAATGAATTTGAATAAATAAAATAAAAAAGAAAATGAGAAAGCTTGTCTACCACACAATATCAGCAACAATGTAATGTTTGCAATGCTAGGTTGTTGATGACCCTATACACCAAGTTTGAATAATTAGCTGCTAAAGCTACTAAAATTAATGTTTTTATGATGCCGGCTATGTGACAGACAAGAATTAATTATAGAGGAAGCAAAACGTGACACAGCGCACTGATACTGGCGTTATTAATTGCTTCTTGTCACTTGACTAGTATTTAAGTGTACTATAGCTAACACGCTGTAGAGCTCACCTATCTTTCGCCCTTGGCTTCTCCCACAATTTCTATTTTCTAGGAAACATAAATCTGACGTAGTTTGGTATATGAAATTATATTTTTTGACTAATATAATCTATTCGATCTGATGACTGAAACAATCACAGTAATTGTTATTTAACCCATTTAGACCTACCGTACCCTATGTGGTACGGTATATTATTGAAAATATTTTGAAGTACCAAACTGTTGTTATTTTGTAAAAATGATTGTAACAGTAAGCTTAAAGTGATTATTTTACATAATAATATTAAAAAAATACGTTTTAAAAGGTGGTTTCGGAAATATTTTTGAAATTCCTCGACAGAAAACAAAAAAAAATTACAATCTATTCAGGAAGGCATATTTTTTATTATTCATGGTAAATTATATTATTTATCAATTTTATTTCAAAAACAGAGTAACAATAGATATCATTACTACAAAAAAAATATTATTGAGATTATTTTTATACCATTTTTTCTAGTCTAAAATAGGTGTACCCTATAAGGTACAGTAGGTCTATGCATAAGCAAAATCATGCGAGAAAATATAATTTATTTTGTACTAGCTTTCCGCCCGCGGCTTCGCCCGCGTGGAATTTTGTCTGTCACAGAAAAACTTTATCGCGCGCGTCCCTGTTTCAAAAACCGGGATAAAAACTATCCTATGTTCTTTCCCGGGACTCAAACTATCTCTATGCCAAATTTCATCAAAATCGGTTGCGAGGTTTAAGCGGGAAAGCGTAACAGACAGACAGACAGACAGACAGACAGACAGACAGACAGAGTTACTTTCGCATTTATAATATTAGTTGGGATTATTTTTCATTGTTTTAGGCTTTTGATGCTTCACTAATTGCCACAACTCTTGAAAAATTTGATAATTTCAGCAAACAAAGCGATTTTGGTATTTTTTTACTGCTTTCTTATCAGATGGCCGCTAATGGTGATCAGACTGACGAAGATAGAGTCGATAAAGATAGTGTCAATGTAAATAATTATCCTCAGAGTTTTCTTCGATGGATTTGCTAAATTTCCGTCGTCGTATTGTTAAAAGCGGTTATTGATAGCAGTAAACATNCAATATTTTGTTGCAATTTCTTACAAAACTTGCGCACAAAAAGCAAATCAGGCCTGGCTCACTCCGCGCGGTACATCCGATAATTACCTACAGCGAAGCGCCCCGCCGGCGGGTATTATATCAGTCGAGTGTCACGCGCTCGCCCGTCAGGACGCTGGCTTGCGTTTTAGTATGATTATAATTCTATGATCGAAGTATTATTTAAAAATGGACATAAAGAGAAAGAAATATGCTCAACTACAAAATTAAAATAAAATATAGTTATCTCCAGGAAACATAATTTTATAAATTACTTATGATTGCGTCTGTTTATGCTAGCTTAATCTCAAAGTAAACGAGGAAATCTGCCCGTTTATATTCAGAGAAAATGATATTTGTTTAATAAAAATAAACGCTGTCCAAAAACATGTATTATTTATTATCAAATAAGATAAATAAAGGTTTACAAATAACATTAATTTACTTAACTTAGCAAGTAATAATCACATTTTAGACAAATAGGATTCAACTAAATCAGGACTTTCTACATTCAAAAATGATTAAATAATATTATTGTATAACAAATAATGTTATGATGAACAATAGAAAAACTTATTAAAAAGATTTTTTAAGAATAAAATAAAGTAAATTCCACTAAATATAATTTTCATTTTCAATTCGGCAAGACACTACAATTAATTATTTAAAATAGAATCACTTTTGCAAATGGCAAATGTGTGCCCAGCCGCCTAAACACGTTTTTAAATCCATCTCATCTTTCTTGGACAAGTGCTGAGAGATGCGTTCTTGGTAACTTTGTCCTAACCGCTTACGTTTCGGCAAAGGCTCCGAAGAATTAACTCGCTCAATAATGCAATCTGTATTCTTTTGCTCCTTAACCGTTTCGGATATTGTTCTGTATATGTTACAATTTCTTCGGCCCAACAAAATGTTCCATCTATTATGCCAAGACTCTAGGGCATTTTGAGATAGTGGCACTTCCGATCTATGACTATCAATAACTGACCACATAGATGGTGGGAATTGGGGTGCTTGTCGTGACAATGTCATCTTAGAACTAACCTGTTTTGAAATCGTCGCTGCCCCTCTCACGTAATATTTTTCGAAACATGACACTACTTGTTCGGCTTCTGCTGGTATTACTTCATTGCTTATCATGTCGAAAGCAGCGGGGATTTCATTTGGTTCTAAGAATGCCAATGCCGCCAAGTGCTGCATTTTGTGTGCAAAAGTTGAGTCTGTGCTATAACGTTTTGCCAAGCCGGAGTCCTGAATGTGTCTCCATATGCTTTGGTTGAGATGGAAAAAACACAACTTGTTTATGCAACCTGGGAAAGCTTTTTTGCTAGCATTAATTGCAGCGGTTTCAAAATCTGTAAGTATAAGTTTTGGTGCCAAATTTTTATTCAATTTATGATGAACGTATCTTTTTAATAATGAGGATCAGTACTGTTGTAGAAAATTCAATAAAACTAGTATCTACGTTAATCTTTAAGACATAAGAAAGATATATCTTTTTGAATTATCCAAATCGAACCATTACTTACGAAGATATTAAGTTATAAACATNGTAAACATAACAAGTCATAAGAAGCCAGGTCTTCTTCAGCTATGCTTACTAACTTGGGGAAAGGTAGGAAAAACGAACCAAATGTGGTTAGTGTCACATAAAACGTCTTACAAGCTATGCCAAGAGTAATATTGGTGATTATGTGATTTTATTTTTATTTTATATCATACAAAAATAAATAAAAACCTTCTTTGAACAATTACTATGTTTTGCATGCATATAGACCTACTGTACCCTATATGGTACGGGCTCCCCACGGCCCCCTTTTTATGGATTATTTTTTTAAATATTTTTTACATGATTTTTATGTTTCCTTTTGTAAGTAATTACTGAAAAATCATTTTTTATTTACAAAAATAATTATCGGTCTAAATGGGTTAAATTGGTTGTTGTTTCAATTTAGAAACAATCCCCGCTTTACCCTGAGCCCTGCATTGATGCAAAGTGTGCGTCGCTGCAACGTGAAGTGAACCCACTCAACCGGGCTGCGTGTGCGCCGGCACGCGCCCATTAGCGGCTGTCTGAAGCGTGCATGATTCGGAATTAGGGGATCTCAATCAACCTTTATAGTCGGTCATCTTCTTGGAGAACATTTATAGCAAGTGCTAAGGCCTCGTTGTTCTTACAGAATTGATAGGATTCAATTTTTGTGTATGAAATGTCTTGTCTCACCGCTGCAAACGAAATGAAATAAAGTTGATAATGGCTCCCAACTCTTTGTCAAGCCCAAGTACTACATAATAAACGTTGTGTGTTGCAAATTAAACCATACTTACAAATATCAACACGCCTACGGCTAAAAAACACCACGTTATTCTTACTCGTTTGATTTTTTTTTTATAAAGTACGGGTTAACTTCTTACATAAATAGGGTAACATCTTGGTATTCTCGTATACATTTTCCACGTCATATAAACTCATACCTTTCCTTGTCCCCAGGGCATATTCCGCCTGGCTTGCGAGCACGTGCTGCGCACGATGCGGCGCGGGCGCGAGACGCTGCTGACGCTGCTGGAAGCGTTCGTGNGTTTTTTTTTTGCGAAATAAACTATTTTCTTTCTTTTGAATTTTATGCTTTATCACCTGTAAACTGTTTGTCTGTACACAAAAATTATTTGTATTCTATTATTTCTTTCAAGGTAGGTTTCATTCATAAATAAATTTTGGTCATACACTCGTTTTCCCTTGTCTGTGGTATTCCAATGATGATTCACAAAAGTCCTGATTCACAATTTCCTATTATGATCACATTATTTGAGGAAACTTCTCATTTCTACATCCATTAATTATGATGATGATGTAATCTTCAATTAAAATAGTGCAGTCATAAATTCATAATAATACTGGATTTGACATTTGAGGGATTTAAAGTTTGTTTTAAATAAATTAGCAACATAAAATGACATTTTCGACTTCAGTTATAAATAGAAATTAATACATAATTACTCGTATTTTGTATTGATTTATTTATATTGCAGTTTTCTGCGAAAACTTCAAGCAAAAAAGTGGCGGACGTCCGCTTCTAGGTAAATAATAAAATCAAGTCTTAAGGCAACCAGCCTAGCCTAAGTAGCAAGTACTGTTTATATGCAATTAGTCACTTATAATAAGTTAAAATGTAGTTAGCGACTTATCTACTTTAACACGTGTAAATCAGCCTTTACATTTAAATTTTAATGAGTAATACAACAACAAAATTTCTCAGGAATTCGAGAACCTGATTATATTATTCACAGCCTCCAAAGCATATTTAATTCGAAGGTCCAAGGTCCGCGAGGTGAGCCAGTGACGTAGGTAGGTACTCGGATAACGAGAGCACAGCAGGCTATACATTTTTATTGCAAACTAGCTTCTATTACAACTGCATTAGACCCTACAGTGTAAAGCTTGACGTGCTACCAGTGACATACATTAGTTGCATGCAAACATTTTGTTTGACGCACGAATAAATTGTAAATAATAAAACCGGTTATAGAAGGTTAATAAAACCACCAAGTTTACGCTTAGAAGTTATACGAGTCAAAAATGTTTTTAAATTACATTTGTTTATGTTTCAGCTTCATTACAAAGATGAAAAAAAGTTTTTTTATTAGACACTAACTTTCCGCCTGCGGCTTCGTGTGGAATTTTTCGGTTTTTTATATAACCTATGACACTCAGCAATAATGTGGCTTTCTATTGGTGAAAGAATTTTTAAAATCGGTTCAGTAGATCCCGAGATTACCCCTGACAATTTAACAAATATACAAACACACAAACTTTACCTCTTTATAATATTAGTATAGATTGAAACGCTAAAAATTAAGTAATAATTTAAAACTTAACTTATGACTTAAAACTACAATTTTTAAAAAGAAATCTGAAGATAATTACTAAAATAAACTCAATTATCTTCATTTATTAAACCTTATTCGACGATCCAAACAAGATAATTCTGATTTAGATATCGTGTTGGATAGAAACAACGTGTTATTCCAATCGTGCATAGACAAGGTTCGTGATAACATCTGATAAAGGCCGGTATAGTCAGCGCCGAGAGAGACTGTCAATTTTTGTAACAAATAAAGCTGAATAAAATTGACACAGAAGTAGATAAATAGATTCTTTTTGCACACCATACAAAACTAAAAAAAAAACCATAAATATAATATCTAAGCTAGACGATAAATTATACTATAACTGATCCTCTTTCTTCCGCTTAGTTGTGCCTGACAAGTCCAGGCGCACTGATTTTTGGAGATAAGTTAGCTTTGAAATTATGTGCAATGCAATTATAATAAATAAATAACATTGAAAAGGCAGTGTGCAGGAAGCGAAATCTTCCAGACATCCTAGGGAGAGGACAGTTTTTATTTTAACATGCTTTTTTAAGAAGTTTGAGTTTTTTCATAATGCGTTTACAAACTTGTCAGTTTCTGTTGGCGCGAACAATACACATTATTATGTTAAGAGCGTTGTCACATTTTTCATGCAGAAATCGAGAATTTGGCAGATTTCGAAATGATTTTAGTCATATAATTTATTGTTATAGCTTCTTTTGACTTATATCACGTATGTCATCAAAGAGAGAGTTTGGCATCTTTGGCATCCCCCCCCCCCTCCATGTCCTTGCCATGATCACAAATTATGTTTCCTACTAAATTTCATCTAAATCGGTTCAACGATTCTTGAAATAACACCATTTTATAAAATAATTGGTCACATCGTCATAACGTGATAAATTTTACGATTTGGCCACGATATAAATGCATATTAGTGTTAAATTTGACATAATACTTATTAATCAATAAACTTAAATGAGAAAAATTCAATAAAAATAAAGAAAAGATACCAATTGAAAAATTATAAAATTATTTGTTTTCACCCGGTGTAAACACCCACGGGTGGAATGAAACGGGTTTTTATTGGGTTTTTACCCTCATGTGGTTTTTACCCGGGTGGAAACCCATCTCTAGTCACTAGTAGCAACACTGTCAAACAGAACTTTTTGCAACTATTTGAAGTTTAATAACTTTACGGACTACTACTATACTTTATTTATCATTGATTGTTTTACTGTCCAGTGTGTTTTTTGATTACATCGCATCTGGGCATACAGTTTGTTTCCTGTTCTCGAAAATTTCATAATCAGTTCACATTCAATGTTGCGACTATGTTGCATATTTTTAGTATTTTGACGATCACCCGGCGATGATACGCAAGTATTACAATAATTTCACTTCGCGATTAACGAGAGGTTTTGTCGCATCACTAGTTCACAGACCAAAAATATTTTTATGTCAGTTGGCCATATTTGATGACATTTCTGCTGATTTCTAAAAAATTAGACTGTAGGTGTGTGTGTGTGCGTGTGTGTGTGTTGAGTGTGAGAGAGAGCCTTTATGGGAGAGCGTGAGAGGGAGACACCCACGTGACTAGGCTGACACTAAAGCTTCAACAACACCAACGCGTGCAGATAACCATCGCCGGCGCGATCAAGACAGGTCGCGCGACATATGACAGTTCACGCGACCAGTCTTTGGCCTTTGATCGCGCCGTGGTCGCGCCGGCGATGACGATGCACGCGTTGGTGTGGTTGAAGCTTAATACGTAAATAATTTGGATGTGTTATTACATCGAAAATTCCAATCCAAAAAGAAAGTTCCAATGAAAATGTACAAACACATCTTTTATTCAATTCTTATTTTATTTTGACTCTTAAACTTTCTTCGTTTGGAGTGTCATTCAGCCTTTATAGCTTGTAACCTGCATTATTTGAGTTTTATGACTAAGATTCTCACGTAACGTATGAGACGTAACGTAACATGTTTTCCTAATTTGCTAAATAATTGAATGGTGAATGATGATTGCAAGCTTCAAAAGAAATTATATACCGAGTCTGTTTTCTCCTATCGATACAAATGTGACACCATGCTGATTAAGGATAGTAATTCTCTTGTTTTCTATCTTAACAATATCACACGCCCCAACAGGCGGGCATAACCACGACCCTGAACTCGCGCTGCTCCGTGCTAGCGGCCGCGAACTCGGTCTTCGGGCGCTGGGACGACACGAAGGCGGACGACAACATCGACTTCATGCCCACCATCCTGTCGCGGTTCGACATGATCTTCATCGTCAAGGACGAGCACGACCAGAACAGGGACATTGTGAGTATTTTAACTGTTTTAGATTTGTGACGTGTGAAAAAAATTGGTTACAGGAAGTAAGGCAGACGCTAATATGTAACAATAATAGGTGGGGCTCCAGGCATTGAAATACGTATTATGTATTTTTGAGCTGTTGAAACGTAACTCGCATAGATCTACACTCCCTAAGCTGCACGCTGGCCAGACAATTTGACGATGTCAACTGACCACTTACGACATCCACTGAAATAGTGGGAAGTGGTCCCATAATCCTATTCTACTTTTCCGAAACCACACGGTTGTCATTGATTTTAGTACCCCTGAAATCCGCTGGAAGATTTAGCTCTAGCTTTATTTGATGAAACAACATCAATGTGATTTTTATACACAGCTGCAGCAGCGGACGAACTCCCGTTAGCGTTACTACGGTGCTACTTGGCGTAAAGGTTTAGCATAACAAGTGTGTTATTTCTACTCCATAGACGTTGGCCAAGCACATAATCTCAGTGCACATAGGCGGCGACACAATCGAACGCTCTGTAGCAGCGGGTGAACTCCCGTTAGCGTTACTACGACACTACTCGGCATACTACATTTTAGAACACCTTATTTTTTTCCTACTACATAGACGCTGGCCAAGCACATAGGCGGCGATATGACCGAGCGCGCTGCAGCAGCGGGCGAACTCCCGTTAGCGTCACTACGACACTACTCGGCATACTGAGTTTTAGAATAACACTTTTGTTTCTACTCCATACCGCATAATCTCAGTGCACATGGGCGGCGACACAACCGAATGCTCACCAGCCGCAGGCGAGCTGCCTCTAGCGTTATTACGGTGCTACGAGTGTCATAACCAGACACTGTATGCTAAACAAGCACCTACACAACATAGGTGTCACAGACAGCCCACTGTGCAGGGGATGCATGGAGGCAGAGGAAACACCGCAGCATGTGCTCATGGAGTGCAGTAGCGTAGTAGAACAACGGGCTCAATTTCTTTGATCACCATCGTCGCTGCAGGAGGCCTGTAGGAGCCTAGACGGGCTGCTCGCCTTCTGGGGGGATCTGGGGTGGTTGGAGTGGAAAGATAAACCACAAATCGCGCACAATGGCCCAATCATGAGGCTAAGTGCGGTATTCGATTGCCCTGCAAAACTAACTAACTACGGTGCTACTTGGCGTAAAGTTTTAGCATAACAAGTGTGTTATTTCTACTCCATAGACACTGACCAAACACATAATCTGCGCGCTGCAGCAGCGGGCGAACTCCCGTTAGCGTTACTACGACACTATTCGGCGTGCTAAATTTTAGAATAACACCTTATTTTTTTCCTACTCCATAGACGCTGGCCAAACACATAATCTCAGTGCACATGGGCGGTGACACGACCGAGCGCGCTGCAGCAGCGGGCGAACTCCCGTTAGCGTCACTACGACACTACTCGGCATACTGAGTTTTAGAATAACACCTTATTTTTTTCCTACTCCATAGACAGTGGCCAAACACATAATCTCAGTGCACATGGGCGGCGACACGACCGAGCGCGCTGCAGCAGCGGGCGAACTCCCGTTAGCGTCACTACGATACTACTCGGCATACTGAGTTTTAGAATAACACCTTATTTTTTTCCTACTACATAGACGCTGGCCAAGCACATAATCTCAGTGCACATGGGCGGCGACACGACCGAGCGCGCTGCAACAGCGGGCGAACTCCCGTTAGCGTCACTACGACACTACTCGGCATACTGAGTTTTAGAATAACACCTTATTATTTTCCTACTCCATAGACGCTGGCCAAACACATAATCTCAGTGCACATGGGCGGCGACACGACCGAGCGCGCTGCAGCGGCCGGCGAGCTCCCGTTAGCTTTACTGCGGCGCTACTCGGCATACTGAGTTTTAGAATAACACCTTATTTTTTTCCTACTCCATAGACGCTGGCCATGCACATAATCTCAGTGCACATGGGCGGCGACACGACCGAGCGCGCTGCAACAGCGGGCGAACTCCCGTTAGCGTCACTACGACACTACTCGGCATACTGAGTTTTAGAATAACACCTTATTTTTTTCCTACTACATAGACGCTGGCCAAGCACATAATCTCAGTGCACATGGGCGGCGACACGACCGAGCGCGCGGCAGCAGCGGGCGAACTCCCGTTAGCGTTACTACGACACTACTCGGCGTACTGAGTTTTAGAATAACACTTGTTTTTACTCCATACCAAATAATCTCAGTGCACATGGGCGGCGACACGATCGAACGCTCACCAGCCGCAGGCGAGCTGCCTCTAGCGTTATTACGGTGCTACGAGTGTCATAACCGGACACTGTATGCTAAACAAGCATCTACACAACATAGGTGTTACAGACAGCCCACTGTGCAGGGGGTGCATGGAGGCAGAGGAAACACCGCAGCATGTGCTCATGGAGTGCAGTAGCGTAGTAGAACAACGGGCTCAATTTCTTTGATCACCATCGTCGCTGCAGGAGGCCTGTAGGAGCCTAGACGGGCTGCTCGCCTTCTGGGGGGATCTGGGGCGGTTGGAGTAGGAAGATAAACCACAAATCGCGCACAGTCGCCCAATCATGAGGCTAAGTGCGGTATTCGATTGCCCTGCAAAACTAACTACGGTGCTACTTGGCGTAAAGTTTTAGCATAACAAGTGTGTTATTTCTACTCCATAGACACTGACCAAACACATAATCTGCGCGCTGCAGAAGCGGGCGAACTCCCGTTAGCGTTACTACGACACTATTCGGCGTGCTAAATTTTAGAATAACACCTTATTTTTTTCCTACTCCATAGACGCTGGCCAAGCACATAATCTCAGTGCACATGGGCGGCGACACGACCGAGCGCGCTGCAGCGGCGGGCGAGCTCCCTTTAGCGTTACTGCGGCGCTACTCGGCCTACTGCCGCGCGCGCTGCGGCCCGCGCCTGTCCGCCGCCGCGGCCGAGCGCCTGCGAGCCCGATACGTGCTCATGCGCAGCGGCGCCTCGCAGCAGGAGCGCCAGGCTGACAAGCGCCTGTCTATACCTATCACCGTGAGGTATATCCAACAAAATCATCATCATTTTAGCCACTGCTGAACATAGGCTTCCCCCAATGATCAGAGATTTTCGCAACCTCCGAACTTGCCACCGAATGACGTATCACCAAGTGAGAGGCCTGCCTGCTACAGACCGGAAAATAGGACACATGTCCTCAGAACCGTGGTCGCCACTCGAGTACTTTTCTGCGCAAACGGCCATCGTGCCTATGCCTGCGCGCGCGATACGTGCTCATGCGCAGCGGCGCCTCGCAGCAGGAGCGCCAGGCTGACAAGCGCCTGTCTATACCTATCACTGTGAGGTATATCCAACAAAATCATCATCATTTTATGGCCACGATAGCTGAACGGTGAAGGGGTCGGAGTGGCGACTCCAGATCCGAGGAACGCGGGTTCGAATCCCACTGGATGGCGCTCGACTATTGTGGTGAGCCCACTTGTAATACAAGCTTATTTAGCTTAACACGAGGGGCTAATGGGACTATTAGTAATTTGGGCAATTCAAGTTGTTAATAATCTTCTATCTGAAAAAAAAAATTTAGCCGCACTGCTGAACATAGGCTTCCCCCAATGATCAGAGATCTTCGCAACCACCGAACTTGCGCTGCCCGTATCTAGGTTCCCTTCACCAGAATGATGTATCACCAAGTGAGAGGCCTGCCTGCTACAGACCGGAAAATAAAACAGATGTCATTCGAACCGTGGTCGCCACTCAAGTACTTTTCTGCGCAAACGGCCATCGTGTCTACGCCTGCGCGCGCGATACTTGCGCAGGAGCGCCAGGCTGACAAGCGCCTGTCTATACCTATTACTGTAAGGTATGCGTACAAAATCAACATCATCATCTTTAAAATATAGAAAGAAGAGTCTCACTCACTGCGACATTTTTATATGAGTTACATATTTAAATATGTAACTCGTATGCGTACTCGTATGTAACGTCCACTGCTGAACATAGGCCTCCCCCAATGATCTCCAGATTGACCGATTTTTAGTGGCCTGCAAAATAGTGAAAACTTTCGATTCAACCAAACTGCGGCCCGCTGCGGCCTGGACAAAGGCCTTCCCCAAGGATCTTCGTAACGACCGATCCTATGCTGTCCGCATCCAGGTTCCCTCCGTGACCTTCACCAGAGTGACGTTCTACCGAATGAGAGGCCCGAATGCCACAGACCGCAAAACACTTAAGTCTTCCGGCCCGCGGTCGCCAGTCAAGAACTTGAGCGCAAACCAAAAACCATCAGTTCTATGAACTACGAGCCTCGCCCACTGACCAAAGTTCTCTTGCATTTCAGACAATTGGAAGCCATCGTCCGTATATCAGAATCTCTTGCCAAAATGCAACTCCAACCTTTCGCGACGGAAGCGCACGTGAGTGAGGCGCTACGACTGTTCCAAGTCTCTACCTTGGACGCCGCTATGACTGGAAGCCTGTCCGGTATGCTATTGCCTCCCTTATTAAAAATATGTTTAATGTTCATAACTATCTAGAAATATTTAGAAATAATTCAGCCTACAAGCTAATATCGAAGTGTTAATTTATTCCAGGAGCAGAAGGCTTCACCTCGGAAGAAGATCATGAGATGCTGACCCGCATTGAAAAACAACTGAAGCGTCGGTTCGCAGTGGGCTCACAGGTAAGAATAGATATTTATCTACCCTTTTTTAGTTAGTTGGATTCCAAGACACAACTTCTTATTAAATAAACGATGTTAAAACCTGCCCTGAAAACCGAGTTTGCAATTGGCTATAAAATTCTAATGTAAGTCCTTTGAAATCAATAAATTGTAAGTTGACCTGATGACGTCATAATCACCTCTTGATAGTTCATAAAAAAGTATAGTTCCAAAATACTGAACTGTCCTATGCATGACATTGACAGTGGGGCGCCACCGTCAATACCGGATCGCTGGTTCCGATTTTTGTCATGTTGGAAACCATATAGTTGAACGATGGTAGCGCCCCCCTGTCATTGAGTTTGGTGGGACAGTTCAGCTTGGGTCATCTATATGTCAATTGACTAGGATAGATACACTGTACGTACACCATAGAAAGAATGAAAATAATTTTATTTAGGAACAAAATACATACAAGTTGCCGAAAAGGTCACTCAGTACCATCATGACAGTGTAACTATCTTATTCACCAACGGGTATTTCGTTCAGGTGTCGGAGGCGACGGTGATGGCCGACTTCATGCGCCAGAAGTACCCGGAACGCGCCGTGCAGAAGGTCATCCACGCCATGATCCGGCGCGGCGAGCTGCAGCACCGTCTGCAGAGGAAGATGCTCTACCGGCTCTCGTGAGCGCGCGGCCAATCAGTGGCGAGAGAAGTGTACCTTTCGGCATTCTCTCTGTTTCTCATAATCAAAGACCACCGCTACAAAACTTAGGCTGATTTGCACCACCTAACTTTGACCGTAACTATAACGATAATCGGTGGTTTTTGTATGGAGTTTGACAGATTTTTTACGTTTGTCAAAGTTAAAGTAAGATGGTGCAATCCTGTTTACCCGTGTCTCTATAAACACTAGCAAAACCAGTGTGCTTCAAATACGCACCATTGAAGCCATTAGACAGAATAATTTTAACAGCCATAGTAAAGTGTTGCTATACTGCTGATAATTCGACTATCGATTGACCTTCAAAATCAGTTATCCGGTATAAAAGTCGATAGTATAGGGCTGTTACGAATACAGCAATGGTAAACATGAATCCTAACAACCTTTTGCAACAAAATATCGACAGTGTCGTTACTACTGATAAAACGAGTTGTTGATCCAATCTCGATTATAAGTTCTACATCAAGTGACTTGTATTTTTGTGTCGTAATAATTAAGATAATGTTAAATAATTTTAGTATTTTTATAATAAATAAAAGGAACTCAATGCAACTTATGAATTTTATTCATCAAAGTAAAATAATAATACTACATTAACGTTTAACGCCCAAATCATAAAACAAAAATCAGTTTCACTGATACATTTGTGTTAAAGCTAAACCTTGAATGATTTGCGTCTGCGTGTCAAACCGCAGAAAACTTTTTAGTCTCGCTTTGCGTTACCTCAAAGGTAGTAAGTAAATACTTCTAAGAATGTTTAAAATCATGCGATGAAATTATTCCTTGACGATCTCAGGGACATCAATCTTGAATGGATACTCGGGATGCCTTTCAACTCCCTTCCAGAACAGGAAATTGAAAATGCGACCATCCTCGCCGTGGTCCAGTTTGGATAGATGGTTTATCTCAGCAGGCGACAGTTCAAAATCATAGATTTGCATGTTTTCCTGTAAAAAGTAATATTGCATTGTACACGTGTTGAACAGTGTTTATAGTGACGTTACTTTTTATTAGTAAAGGGATTAACTTTCATCACAAAGGCATTTGGATTTTGGAGACGCGATTTTGAAATAATGTTTTACTCACTTTTAACCTTTTATCGCTGGTGCTCTTTGGAATAACAACGATCTTTTGCTGCACCAGGAAATGAAGGAGTACTTGTGCTGTTGTTTTTCCATGTTTTTCGGCTATTTGTACCACTTCGGGATGCCCAAGCAAGTCGGGAAAGGCATCGGGACTGAAAGCAATAATAAAACATTTATTTTATAATTTGTTGGTTTACGTATGATTTGCTATGACTCACATATTTTAACCTTGTTTTAAGTATAACAAAATTGTGTGTGCATTTGCATATATTAATGACTTGTCAACAGGGTATTTTTAGAAAAACGCTAAATTTAGATAATCCATTCAAGTTTGATATTGTGGAAAATGTCGGAATTAATTTTACGCTTTAAAACGTCACTTATCTTAATGCGCGACACTTATGTTTATGTATTTAGCGTACTATTTTGCATATTGACTTGTGAAAAAGGGTTTATTTTTGGAACAACGCTTATTATTCTGTTCAAAATTGATAATGTGGAATAGATAATTTGTAACACAGGTACAGAATATTTTTACACTATTGCTCCATTATTACCGACCGCGAAATTTACTGTCACGAATATAATCTCTTTAAGCCTATGTAACCTAATAAGTACCTCTATTACCGCACCCGCACATTCTAGGGTTATTTTTAGGGGGAAGATTTTATGGGGCGTGCTTTGTTTTTTTTTTTTACCCGACTGCGGGGTTATGTTTTTTAAACATGGGTGTTGCAATAGGTAATTATTATTTCGTGAATCCGTCACCTGGAACAAACGTCGAATCCGTGGATCTTTAAGTTTCCTTAAAAGTACATACTTACCTATAATTATATTTTGTGACGAAATGGTTCTTAGCCCCAGGGCTGCCCAGCGGCGCGTATGCCGTCACCACAATGTTGTTCTCGGCGCAGAACTTGCGCAAGTCCTTCTGCTGAAAGTACGCGTGAAGTTCCACCTGCAGGACCTGCGGCTTCAAGGTCGCCGCCTTCATAATCTTCTCTATCTGGCTCTCGTTGAAGTTCGACAGCCCTAAGTTGCGAGCGAGACCGTTCTTCTGGCATTCCTCCATTTTCTGAAGACAAAAATTACTCGTCACATAAATTAAATAAACTTTTTATTGACAGAAACGAATAATACGAATACTGCACTTAAGGTCACGCCATAGCAGACATGCTGCGCTGTGGTTACGATTAGCATCGGTGATCGGCGATTTTGCAACTGTATAAAACGGTTAAAAAACTCTATTTTCTCAGCAGAACTGTATCGATGCAGCATCGCGATTTCATGCGTTTGGATGCGGATCAATACCGATCAATACATCAGATTTTGCGGCAAAACAGACATTATTATTACAACTGCACAATATGTCACCGTATTTTGCTTGCTATTTATGGCGTGCGTACAAATTACTCACTTTCCATGTAGTGATATGATTAGTCTCCATGTCCAAGTCGTACTCTCCATTCTCCTTCACCACTGGCGTGAGCGTCTCGGGATCGCAATGGAAGCCGAAGGGCACGTGGATCAGATACAAGTCCACGTACTCAGTCTGCAGGCGACACAGCTGCAGGTCTAAGAACTTCAACACGTCAGACGCACGATTTCCTACGTGAGGAAGCTGGAATATAACAATTCGCTCATAAAATTCGTGAAAAACTGTTGAAATTTTAATTTTTAATTATTTTATTTGTAATTACGGATCTTTGCTATATAGTGGACTAGCGGCCGCCCACGACTTCGTACGCGTGGATCCCGTTTTACCCCCTTAGGGGTGGAGTTTCATAAAATCCGTTCTTAGTGAGCACACAAGACTGTCGTAGGAACAATAATAAGTGTCCACCTACCTATGTATAAAGTTTTAGTAAGCACTCTTTACTTAAAATATAGTATGTAGTAATATAATGACATAATAACACGTAAAAGCGAAAGGAAGCGATTTTTGCTTTTGAGGAAGTTTGAGATTAATGTTGAGTTAGATGAGACCTAGAAAAAGGTCGTAAAAATTATGAGGCCCTGTCTGTGTTACGTTAGATACGATTATTTAAGTTATGTTAGGTAACACATATTTTTCTTTAAAACCTATTTTCAAGAGGCTTTTAAAAATTGAGAAACAAATATTTAAAAAAAATCATTATAGTGCGTTTCTGTAGAAAGGTACTGTTCCAGTATTTATTTAAAATAATAATAATCGTCGGGCTAACAACCCTCTCAATACAAAAATGTTCTTACAAAAATAAACCGGAACGAAGTCGTGGGCGGCTGTTAGTAAATAAATAGATTGGTGGTGAAAAAAGAAATGTAGGACTTCTAAAGATAAAACAAGTCTCACTCACCTTGGTGGTAATAAACAAATCTTTTCGCGTCCCTTTTCCATCGCTGATCCATCTCTTAATCGCGTTCCCGATTGCTTCCTCGTTATTGTAATTAAAAGCCGTATCGATGTGTCTATATCCCAAATCTAGCGCTTTATAGACAGTACTTTCTATTACATCTGGAGCTGCCTGAAAAGTAAGTACTTTAGGTAAGCCGCATTTTATCAGGCGGTTTTAATACAGCAGCATCTTTGCAGATATTATGTGTATGTCTGGTAAGCCCTGAAAAAATGTGAATAGATAAAAATAGCTGACTTACCTGCCAAGTCCCTAAGCCTAATGTAGGCATTACAGCCTCAGTCTGTGATAGCGTTACGAATTTCATGTTTCTGATATTTTTGTGATAGTAACGCAACGAAGTCCGAAAAATCAGCCGCACACTGCTCCAACTAAACATAAATTTTGACTGAAGCAACTACTTATATACAGTCTGTAAGATCTGGCAATTTGCCAAGGTAACCAGAAATTCGTTAGGAAATTATGCCTCTTATTATAATGCAGGAAAACAGAAGAACTGTTCATGTAAAATGCAAAAACTAAAACACTGACTTCAGCCAGACGTACAATATCGATTTTCAGTGACGTAATCTTATCATTTTGAATTTCGCGGGCACGTCAAGATTTTATTGGTGAAAAAGATTGCTTTGTATTAATATTAAGTATACTTATGAAATCAATTAATATTTTTTCTGTTTAAGATTTTTTTCCGTCAAATTAATTTAAATTCATACAATAAGCATGCATTTTATTTATTTTGTTTGTTAGATGAATGTATTTCAGAACGCATAAAATAATGTCAAATTCATCAAATCGGGGGCGTTTGGCCGAAAATAAAATTATTAGCGCTTATAAGAAAAATGGCGTACGTTTAAAGGTACAATGAAAGAAAGATGCAATCACTGCTAAAAAAATATATGGAAAACATCACTATTAAAGTTAGCAAACGTGTCCTCGACGAAAACATGCTAAAGTTTTACACGGTTGTCAAGGCGATCGCCATTTTCCTTACCATTTCTAACAAATTCTATTTTTGGCCAAACGCATCCAATAATGTACCTACTTTGTTCTCTTTTGCACATAAAAAATTCAACATTCACACATCTTAATTCTATTGGTCGGTAGTAATGAAATGTCAATTCTGACCAATAGGATTTTTGTTTTGATATTTTTGACAAGATAATAGTAAAAGAAGAAAACAAAAATTCCCGCCGTCGCCTTTCGTTTGATTCCTTCTAGGTTTTTTTGTTAAAATTGTGCTTTATTCAAATAATACTATATTGTTTTTAATATTAGATATATCATTGCATCAATCTAAGATCAAGAAACGTTTCCTACTACGAAAAATGGGTGTAAGTACAAATATTTAATATCTTGTAATACTAACGTTATATTTCTTCTATTTTAGGTAAAATTAAATACGTTCAACGAACATTAAATACGTTTATTGTTTAGAATATTATTAAGACCATGCCTGTTAATTATTTCTTGATTCACATCTAAAATACTGCTAAATTACTTGTACCGTTATTTAAGGTTATGTGTTTGTTTACAAACTGATTTTATAATTTTTAAAGAAAAAAACTGCTGCAACTACTAACAAAAATAAAGAAAAACGGCAAGCTAGGAAGCTTGAGCAGCGTCGAATTGCTGATGGGATGTCCTATGTAACGTCCGCCAACAAACTGACGGACTTGGCTTCCCTTTGCAAGGACCTTATGATCTACCGGAACAATGATCTGGAGGTGGACATGTACATCCAAAGAGTTGGTGAACTTGATAAAAACGTACATCAATGGGCCATAGACCTTACTGAGAGGAATATGAAAAGATTGTAAGTAGAATTTTATGAACAATTTTCTCCTAACAAAAATTTGGATTTATCTCATACACTTATTAAACTTTCTTATTTTCCTAATGCAAAATATTTTCATTTGCAGGTACGAGACTTGTGCCTGGGGTTGGAATAAAGAGCGTAAAGTGGAGGAGATGACCGATGACAATGCTTGGTACCTCATCGCTAAAGCCAAAAGCGGATCATTGCTTGCTTTCTCTCACTTCAGATTTGATCTGGATTTTGGGGAACCTGTACTGTATTGGTAAGTTTTATTATTATAATAAAATTCACAACATTTTGTTAAATGCTTTCATCATGTATATTACTGTATATGCCAGTTTTTAGCTGGTTATCATGTCTTAATTAGTTCAATGTGCTGTTGATCTTTCATGAACCAATAAATAAATCTTTGGTATTTGGGGAAAATTATACAAAATGTAACTTAAAAATACAATGGGATGTTTGAGTGATGTATTTTATAAATATTTAACTAGCTTAACTTATTATTTACACCTACATAATACATTGATTCACATTTTACAATTAGATAGATCTAATCATACACACACTTGTCAGTTAGCTTTCGCTTTATATCTCCAAAGTAAACACAGAAATACACTGAAGTTTCTAAATAGCCTTTTTTCAAAAACACGTTTCTCTTTGGGCCACCATTTTATGCACCTTGTGCATAGATACCTGAAGAGTATGTGAAGTATGTATATAGTTGTAATAGCTATAGCTATGCTAAGTACTACCACGTCTAATAACAAATATTGCACAATGCTTAAATCTAATGCTGGCGATCTTAGATGAGGAGCACCCTTGTGTCTGAGCACATACTCGATCCAGTAAATGCCAGTGTCCAGAGGAGGCATTGGTCGGTCGAGGAACACGTTTCTCAGCTTCAGCATATTATCTTTGTACCTGAAAAAATATTGGAATTGTTACTTTACATTTGGTCTTGGTCTCTAGGGCAGGTTTTTTTGTATGAAACCCAGTATCAAGACAGTGCTGCATATTGTGTTAGTGGAATACCTATTTAAATAGTTACCTGGCGTCAGTAAGTAACTCGTGTAGAGCTTGCTTCCATGTGTGTTTGTTGGTGTTCTTGAGGGTGATCGTCTTGGACACGCCGCGGTCGGCCATGGCTCGCGCGTTGAGCGCCTGGTCTGCATACAGAGGCACCGTCAGCATCGGCACCCCGCACGCTACCGCCTCCTGCGTTCCTAGCAGACCGCCGTGCGATATGAACACCTTCACGTTTGGATGGCCTGGAAAAATAGCAATGTTTTATCTTTTAATTTATGAAAAGATTCTATTTGCGCCTTCGCCCTTAACGATATCCTTATCTCACGTCTCGTCGCAAAGGCTCAGCCGCAAAATATGGTGCCTTCGCCCTACGATATCCTTATCACGCGCCCCATACAAAGGATCAGCTCAAATATGAACGCGTGAATTCGGTCTGTCATAGAAAATTGTTATTGAACAATATCCCTCTTCCAAAAAACTACCCTTTGTTTTTCCCTGAGAGTTAAAGGACATCATCCATTTTGGTCCAAAATCAAAAGTACCGGCCAAAAAATAAAAGTGCTGTATTCTGATAGAATACGTCCGCCTTAGCATTTATTACTATGGCACCAAAGCTGTAGCACCACTGTGCATCGTAGTATTTGAGCTCTAAAAATATATGAAACGACTGACTTTGATCTCAAATACTACGATGCACAGTGGTGCTACAGATTTGGTGTCATAGTAACAAATACTAAGGCGGACGTATTCTGTCAGAACACAGCACTTTTTTTTTATTGGCCGAGACTTTTGATTTTGAACAAAAAATGTATGAATAATCGATGACTTTTAGATCTCAAATACTCGACGCACAGTGGAGCTACGGCTTTGGTGCCATAGTAACAAATGCTAAGGCAGACGTATTCTGTCAGAATACAGCACTTTTTTTTGTTGGCCGGCACTTTTGATTTTGGACCAAAAATATATGAAACGTGGATGATGTCCTTTAGCGGTTCAAATCTTTACTCCATTTATGCAGCTTCTGTTTTTTATCCATACTTCGCGGGCGGAAGTTTTTAGCATCGCACCTAATGAAAAGTGATAATCATGCATAATATGGCGGAAGCGAGCTTTACTCGGAATCCTCAACTACAGAAGACTGGCAATATCTTCTCAGAAAATTATCTTTTATTTTCAGTCTTAAAACCTTTAGCTAGTATTTTTAAACTAATTTTAATATCCTTGGAAAAAATAAATAAATAAATATCCTTGGACATTTTACACTACGCCGCTAGCCCCAAACTAAGCAAAGCTTGTACTATGGGTACTAGACAACGGATATAAACATACTTAAATACTTTTTTTTTTTTGTAAATACATACATATTATACATAGAAAACACCCATTATTCTTATCATTCTAGACGCACATACAATGTGTAATTAATAAGTTGCGATTACCAAGCGATAAGTAAAACCACTTCCCGATGACGCGTGTTGGATATTGGAAATTGTTTCAGTCAGTTAATTCACGAATATTTACTTACATAAAGTGGCATACTGTGGTATCCAGTCCATCGTGTAGATGTTGTCGGGAACCGTGAGGTTCGTGGACAGGCGCATCCGATTCATCTTCACCAGCACCGTCTGGCTCAGCTCCGATATCACGGCAAAGATCTGCGCCAGCTTCTCACTCGGTATCGTTTCGATCTTCGACATCGAACCGAAACTCCAATAAATTATCCCATCGGTAGACGCGTCCAAAAGCGTTTTCAACTCCTGAAAAATCTGTTAGTTAGAATAATGTCGAACAAATGAACATTTATTCAGAAAATGCATCATCATTTTTAATTAACGATAACGTCTTTGTTTTTCTTTGAGCCGTTGTCAACGTAATGAATGCGAAAACAATATAAAATAATGAACATCAATCATCCGAGCGTCAGCATTTTTAATGAAGTGGGTCGCTGATTGTTTACGTGAACTTTACCAGAGGACCTAATGAGAATACTATGTATAGGTAATTTAGTGTAATAAAGTAATTAATTTGACATTATCAGCCTAAAAGGTCTTAGGTCCTAGAGCGATCGATTGTCGGATTCCCTTTGCAGTCAATATAGGTTAATAGCATCGTTCACAATCCACGCGCCACACACAAGTCGTAGTTCACAGGCTAGTTCGTGCAGGCATAAAGAAACTGGAGCGTAATGACAATACGTCTTATCTAACAAGTGTTCTCCAGATTGCAAGCTACATATTAACAATTTGCTATATCAAATTGCTTTATTGGGTTTGTTTATGAAGACGAGAAGTTTCGCACTATTACAGTCATAGTAACTGTTATCTATAAGGCGAATTTCATTGATATGTATTCCAAGTAGCGTTAATTACCTTATTGACTTCATTAACGGTATAGGTATAAATTGCAATCAGCCATATTGGCATACAAGCAATTTAAAATATTATATTATTATAACATTGCTATCTAAAGATAAACAGGAAAATGCCCTCAATGAAAGACTTGCAGAAATATGTGCGGCTAAGCAATTACGTATAATTACAGTTGAAGTGTTAAGTGTAGTAATAGTAAGGAATAGTACATCTCGATGACCTAGTGACTCGCATCTGATATACACCACGAGTACTCAGAAATTGTTATATTGTACTGAAAGTTACTGCATACCTAATACTCATTTATATCGATGATGTGATCGTTTCCCCCTAATCGTTTAAAGGTAACACAAGAAATTGCGTTTTATTTTAAACGGCCGCTAGTATGTAATAATTTGACCAAGTATTTTGTCTTTTTTATTTTATTATTGGCAAAACATTATTCTTGCAATATACCTATTTATTGACTTTGCCGTTTGACCGGTTATCAGCTAGGAATTCAATTCCAATTAAGTCACTTTTAATCGTGTTTCTATCTGATGTAATATTTATTGAAGTTTCCTTTTCGTTCCTACATAATTATCACTTTAATTCAATTTGACTTACCCCTGAAAGCTTTTGTGATTCATCTAAATGTAAGCCTCCGACCTCCACCAGGGCTGGCACCAAAGGCCTCACTTCGTTAATGGTGAAGTGACTATTTGACAAGACCAAGCTGTAGTTTTGAGCCAACTTGTCCAATTTTGTTCCATAACCAAAGAGACGGTCCGCGATAGCCTGGAAAATTACATCAACCAAAATGTCTCTAAATTGCTTTTTGATCATATCTATTGCACTATAAAAAGATTGACTAATAGGCCCATGCAAAGGCAGGACTTACTTGTGAGGGTATCTGTGACTTGTATCTGTACAAAATTTTGGCCCAAAGCACGGATATTGTGTTAGAAAGTCTTTCTATTAGATTCATGTGCTGTCCAAATCCTGTCATGTAAGCGGGCACGTATGCGGTCGCTTCAGGGTTCCCCAGCTGTTCGTTAAACCATGGAAGGGGTACGCTCGAAAGTAGACCCACGACCGGAGCTTTAAATCGTTCCCCTAATGGTAGGAAACATTCCGTTCCAAATACTTCTACAATAACTAGATCGTATGTGACAGTAGAGTTGAGAAGAGCCTTCACTGCCGGCATTCTGGAAACCATGTCACAAGCGTGCACGCATTCCGCCATTATCTGTTCCAAATTATGGACGAAGTCCGGCTTCAAGGAGTAGTGTTGTTCTGTAAGGTTATTATAAATGTCTGGAATCGTCCCTGCTAGACTTATTTCCTCGACATTTGGGGGTCGAATTTTCTGTAACAAAACATTCATGTATTTAATTAAATGTACGATATACTCGAAGTTCTTGATGATCTCATATCTCTTCGATGGTATCATAATATTATATTTCCATCTACATATAATTGCCAAGTTTCATGATAATACAACATAGTTGGTTACAAGTCGACCTAATATAAAAGCGTGTTAAAATGTGGCACTAAATGAGAAATCGCGGAGGGAGCCGCGCGTGCGCGATAACACGCAGACGAGGTGAGAGGCCGCGCACAAGCTGTCTGCACCACTGACAAGTATTGCACGCGTAGATGATGCCATACCGTTCATCTTTTGGATTACCCTGTACGAATGAGGTTTATCTAACAGCAAGGTGTCAAAACATACTTATTGACTATCATCTCTTGTATGCAAAAGCATGTCCTTTCTTTGGACTTTGATAGAATTTGATAATAATATTATCTGCAAAGTAAACTAGTTTACAGATCATAAGTAGGTAGACTTTTCTGAGTCATTCGATCTTAAATTTTTACGGGATTTTTTTTTAGGAAAATCTGCATTTTCTTGCAAAATATCATATTACCTATTCTTTATTTTGTCTCGAGCTCTCATGGCAGCTATCTTTGTATTGAAATGAAAGAAAAAACATAGATAACATGTTTGTATGCTATTCCATCTAGGTACGTCTCATCGTCTTTAATAAATATTAATTTCAAAGAAAAAACATACACATAATCAGCTCATCAACCGCTTAAGTACCTATTTATTTTGATCTTTCACTCACGTCACCTCTTCATCTTAAAGACTAATCAATTAATGAAAAGAAAGTATGAATGTATTTATTGATAAGTACTAGAAAATTGATAAGAAAGTAATAAAATTGAAGGTGAGTGAAAGCCATTATAATTCTAAGATAGTGTTTATAGTTCTACTTGGAATTTGATTTACCTAATGTCTATTTTGATCTTTTTTTTACTTTTGACCTGACTTTTTAATTTTTTTGCTTACATGGCTATCTCACAATAGTTGAAACAATAAGTAAAGGCAATTAAACTTTCAACATTCTTTAGTTATCATATCAACGACCTCAGATTCACCTACACGCCTTAAGTTTTATTCGCATCACTCGCTCTATTCATGTTCTTATTGTAAACAATAATTTCGTAGTATTTCTAATTTATTTTTATCGCCACTATCTTATTTTATTATAACATCTTTGCCTTTAAAACGTCCTTAATCAGTTCAAGTCAATGAACTGTCGAACTTAGGAACCACGCTGTATTAGACCGGTTTGTTTTGTTTTTAAAATAAAATTCGTAATAAATTAAACCACATAATGTAAGTTATTTTAGTTTTTGGTTTGCTCTATGTGCCAATTTTAAGTTATATCTGTTGAATTATCAAGTATTTTTACAGATCCAAGCTAATCATGGACCTGAACCCTATCTGAAGTGATGGGGTTCTTATTTATTTTTAAATTTAAATTAATAATAAATTCCCACTTAAAGTTACTTTAGTTTTGTTCTGCTTTATGAGCGCCTAGTTTTAATTTTATCTGTTCAAATTTTACATTTCTACATATCTATAGTACCTATATATCCGTACTATTTTACTACTGTACAAGTACATATTTAAATTAAATGTGAAAGTTTGTGTGGATGGATGTTTGATACGCTTTTACGCAAAAGCTGCTAAACGGATACAGATTAAACTGAATTTCACGTGGGCGACACCGCGGGCAAAAGCTCGTACCTACCTACAGAAAATAAGTATGTCTTGAATCTTGTAAATTAATAATATTAAGTTTTATATTGTAACTGAATTTTGGTTATAAATATGTTATAATAAAATATGTAATCTGGCAATTCAAAGATTAGCCCTTAAAATTTTATTTTTATTAGAAATTGGAGTTCACATTTTTCAAATTTGCCTCAATTTGTGTAACTATTATCTTTATTAAGTTCTACTTAGAGAAAAAATAAATCATAATTAAATCTTATCTCTACATCTCATAAACTTCATACGATTAAAGTTGCGTAAAAATTTAACATTCTTCCTCGGTTTTAATGATAAAAAAACTTATTTTATTAACCACTGAACATAGAAATCGATTAAAATTTATTTATATTAACGACTAATTTCACCTTTGAGAATATTCTAACAAAATTATTGCCGAAATCTGTCGCATCAAAGAAGATTTCGTTTCACATCATACCGCTGCTTATATCAATCATAGTTATTATCAATTATGCAATACATACCATCAGAAAATGGAATAATGACAGTGAGGTGCTTGAGAATATCTAACAAAATTATTGGTGAAATGTACCTTATCAAACAAGAATTTCTTTAAAAACCGTACACTGAATAAATGTCTAGTTATTTTGAATGCAATACATACCATCGGGAAGTGTGATATGACAGTAAGGTGGTGGTTTTTCTTGGCCAGCGCCTCGACCAACCGGCCGTACATGGCGTAGTGGCTTCTAGTGTTGGTGGGCAGCACGACGAGCAGGCGGGCCGCCTGCGCCGCCGCAGCCACCGCGCACAGCGTCAGCCATAACCGCACCTGCATCCTTCTACAGCTCGGCTCAGTTTGCGCGCCGGACCCGCCGACCACCGGCCACCCTACGAGCGCCGATAAGCCAGCTGACGTCACCGCCGCCCGCCGACTGCCCGCCCAGGACGATAAACTTTCCTCAGTCATTTGTTGAACCTATCCAAGTTCAGTGTTTGCAATTTCTATTGCGGTTACCGGCTGTATCAAGGTGTGTTCTGTGCTTGCGGCTTGTCGAAGTCGAACATTGTTTTACTTTCTTCGTGAAATTGGTAACTTTCTTTCATCGATATGGCAATAAGTGGTAAAGGTATTTGCCTTTCTCTACTTAAAAATACTCACTGTCGCTTTTAAAAAGTCTCGAAACATGTGTTTTTATTCCAATCGTATTCTCAAATTCCAAACTCACGAAAATTTACCTGATGCATAGTCTGTAGTCTTACTTTCTATTAATCCAAAGTCAAGATACCTACATGATGGTGGTTAACGTATGAACGTATTTAGAACCTCTAAAATCTATTAACAACCAAAATTGATTTGAAAAGTTTTCTTCATCGCTGCATGCCCATCTATCTTATACCTTGGGGACTCTACATACTATTATGCACTTTCTTACATGCACCTGTTGCAATAGTGCGCGTCCTGCGAGTGGATAGAGTATAAAAGCAGTGAAGTTCAAGAAGACTGGAGACTCCCTCTCCGTAAGTCTAGAGCAAGTAGTGATGATGAGATAAAAAAGGTTATCAAACGGACATCAAAGTGATCTTATAAGGATTCTGTTTTTATTTCTCAGTTGGCACAGAACCCTAAAAAGAAGTGATATCATTACCGAGAATACCGAGTGAACAATCGGATTCGGATCTTTCACTGCTTAGAGTGAGTGATGATTCCCGATTTATGTGACCACTGAAACGAGGGAGAACTATATTTTCCAACCGGAAACGCGATTTATTTGTAGTTTTAGAGTTCTGTTTATTTTTTGGGAATGTCTGAGTTTATTGCGACTCAAACTTTAATATTCTTCATAATGATTACGAAACATTAAAGACTTTACAATTTACTTTTAAGAGATAGGTTAATAGTGAATACTCGTGTAACGCCAATCGATCCCATCTTTCGCGCATCCAATTAATTTTTATTGATTTGTTATCGGGTGTTGTCATTATAGTAACGAATGACACGACACAGTCACATTGTTCCGACCCAGGCAAGGGTCGAGGAACATTACCGTAATTATTTCTGAAAGCGTATCCACTCACTCTGGTTCCGCGTAATACCTATCTCCTAAGTTTCGTAAACAAAACGCGATGAATAACAGAAAAAATCGCGGAAAGTTTTGCGATTTTTTTATCGATGAGTCTCCACACTGACTCACGGATGTGAACATCCACCGCGATCGTGTGAATCCTAAGCAACAGCCGATTGACTGATTGTTTGATACTAATGGACGCGCGAGACTTTAGTTGAATCGTTTTTAGGATTCCGTAGTCCTAACAAGGAACCCTTATTTAAATTGAAAAAGCAATCAAGCCTTTCAGTAAAAGATTATTGTTCTGTGGTAAAAGTGCCATTATTCCAACCCCTGAAGAAAGTATCCTATCAACTTTCGACTCAGAAAATAATTATCTAAATTAAAACAGGAACCAAAATTCGTTTCAAAAAAGTTGCCCCATTACAACAACAACTATTCCAAAATGTTCAAATCCAAACTAAAGACGAGTACAGTTACACGGGGATGAACACATCCATACACGTTCACGAACTATTTAGATCGATAGACTGATGATAATCTACCCAGTGCTTTAACAAATTTATGCGGATGCTAATTTTCTGGTGGCTGAATGGACTAGATTTACCAGTGTATCCCCCGTCTGGTATGAATCAGACTACTGATTAACTATTCACTAGAAACTTGGAATAGAATTCCCAGTTTTCCTCTCAGGTGGACAGGGTCAGAGGACTTAGAGGGGATTACGGGGAATGAATCGGTAGGCGTCATAAACGTTGAAATAGGGGTCAAAATCATTGTGTTCAACGAGAATATGTTTGTTCCAGCTATGAGGTGCAGGTGGAGGCCGAAGGCAGGCGTCGCGGGCTCGGCCAGCGCGTGCTGAGCGTGCTAGAGAAGCTCGCGCGCGCCACGCGCATGCGCTACGTGCGGCTCACTGCGCTCACGCACAACCCTGGCGCTGCGGCCTTCTTCAGGGCTTGCGGGTAACTTGAACTCCTTTTTGTGCTTGAACTTTGTTTTATTTAATTCCAGCGCTTCCATGCTACCTTTACGATGTCGTCGGTCCACCTTGTAGGTGGACGTCCCACGCTGCGTTTTTCGGTACGCGGCCTCCATTCCAGAACCTTGCTGCCCCATCGGCCGTCAGTTCTGCGTACTATATGCCCTGCCCATTGCAATATGCAGGCCGCTACCAATCGATTAACGTGGAAAGCATTAGAGGAGGCCTATGTTCAGCAGTCGACGTCCTATGGCTGAAATGATGATGATGATACTTAGATTATTTTATTTCAACCTAAAGTTCTTCTAGGTATCCGTCTCTTATCAAGACACCATTCTTCGCCCGCGTGCTCTGTTATAGAATGAAAATCGCGACTATCTTCACAAATAGTTCTACGACTATTCCGGACCGTATTTTCACGGATTCGGATCGGACTGAAACCGCTCTAAACCTCCTCATCTCATACGAGTTGAAAATAAATACTCATGTATGAAATAAGTGCTCACCACGCTAATCTTTGCACTGGCGTGATCGAATCTGGCGAACGCTGGGGTCAATCGCAAGTTGGCAACTGGCGTTTTTATCTGATAAGCAGTCAGACAAAAGTCTGCGATCATTAGGTGTTTCAGTTCTTACCTACCTGTGTCTCGAACATCCTGTAGAATCTAATTAGTAATGTTATGAAGGATGTTTTGACGAGAGCGTTTTAATTAATCTCTAAGTTATCTAGGTTTAAAACGTATGAGATAAGCCGATTTACCGCTATGCGTTCATTAACTTCTACACTCGCATAGTACTCTTATTCTGTTTTGCTAGTCTGACTAATTACATGTTTAATAAACGAAACATGTTTTACATGAAGTAATTTATTATAAACAATAAATCGTACTAATCTACGCAGATAATACAAACCATTGAACTCCATTCACATATTCCTAGTGAAACAAACTGTGGGTAGGACGTAGAATCAGTTAAATACAAGGATTTGCAACAAGATAACCTGCAAGCAAAAAAGCTGATACCATGCCCTCAATTATCAAGTGCAAACTTTAATGACATGACTTTGAGAGATGTTTGCCGATTGATATAATTGTTATTTTGTCATCAATATATTCACTAGTTTTATTATCAACTATTTTACTATCGCAGTACCGGCTATTTTTCTTTGTTTTCGAGTTGAACGCGCGAACTCTTAAGTTCAGATTGTGCCGCGCTCGCGTTGGTAACCGTTTTGAGACACCTCTATCGGAGCGGATGATGTCATGCGTTGTGTCTCGTCGGAAAGTCCCGGTTGGCACGCTATTTCTAAGCAAATCTTAGAAAGTATAGTACAAATAAATTATCACAAAATATATAATTATTAAAATTACCTATGGCACAAAAGATAATTTGCTAACACTCACAACCACGAGTAACTACTAGTGTTAAGTAGGGGAGACCTAGGAGAGTTGTGACAGAGGTGAGTTGTGACAAGGGCGATTTCTCCTTACTTAATATAGTTAGGAAGCTGGTAAAAACGCTTGTTTGTCGCTTTTAAGACGCTCTTCTTGACTAAGTAACTGCGGGCGGCGCATGAGACACGGTTACGTAAATATGACGTCTGTGTACAAAAAAATGCAAAAAGTAAGTTTTTCTTCAAAAAAATATTTCAATTTATATCATGTTTTAGTATAATGTGCACTGTTGTGTTATTTTTCTCAAGATGCATGGTTATTCAGGTCTCAAAATGTAGCACTGATATTTCGTGTGCGCATCGTGTTTAGAAAATAAAAATTATTATTCGAACTAAGTCGTCATTTTAAACACCTAGGAGAGTTGTGTCAGCGTGTCACAACTCTCCTAGCTTATTAAATTTTTCCGATGGGCCATTTTCACGATGTTTTTTGTGTGTTAGTAGGTTCATAATTTGTATAATTGCATGCTGTTACTTTTTTGATTCAGAATGCCTCATAACTATACATGAAAGCCATATATTGGAATTGCTTGCTAAAGTCGAAATCTAGGACATAGCTTATGAAGTGATTAGGTTAAAGGGTTAAAGTTTAAGATATGCTGCGACCTCTTACAATCTAAACTTGTCAAGATTATAATATTAAGAAGAAAGAGGCTTATCAAGTAAACCCAGAAGGCGAAGCTCCGTCTATGGATTATACCACCGCTACTATTTTATTTTTATAGAAGAGAAAGAAAATAGTATACTATAGGTATTAAGTGACTATAATATTAGCTAAAAATATAATAAAAAAAATCCAGGGTCGTGGGAGAAAAATGAAAACTGGAGAAATGTGGCTCAATCTGTGTAACGACATCCTATAACTATTTGTTTTAACTGGTAGGTACTAAAGGATGATTAAAGTACTTTTTTGCTAAAAAATTATATTTGATTGAGTATTATGGTATTTTTTATATCTAATAGATGAAATACAATGCTGTCACAACTCACCTCGGTACCTGTCACAACTTACCTCGGTGCTAGGAGAGTTGTGACAGAGGGAGTGGTCTAAGATTTTGGTGGTTTTCTTAGAAACCCTAATACTTTAGTAAACTTTGATGATTGTTTTGAAAACAGAAGGAACGGCGCTACATTAATTTGTAAGATTTATAGTTGTAGAATGTTTTTTGAGCGAGATATGGCCCCTAAAGTAAAAATTGTCACAACTCTCCTAGGTCTCCCCTACCTAAATGCAGAAATATTACGTAAGGCTGCCGCATTGTTTTTATTTGTCAAGGTCAGGTGTATTGCTCAATATTTTCTTTTTTGTTTGATTCAATAAGGAAAAATTGGTAATTTATGCCCAATTTGTACCAAGTTTTCTCTCATTTCCAGGTACAGCTTGGACGAGACGAGTCCAGCGAAGGAAGAAGCAGCTCACTATGAGATCCTCAGCAAGGCAACGCACAGCGAGCCGGCGGCTGATCAGTGTACACTCAGCGATGGCATGCAAGCGGTCAACGTCGCCACCGCCGACTCATAGCAATATAGTCAGAACTACTTTGTAATAGTTTAATGTTGAGTAATAATCCCAGCAGTTATACTACGAGATCCTCAGCAAGGCTACACACAGCGAGCCGGCTGTTGATCAGTCGCTGAGTTATAGCTGGCGGGCGGTCAACGTCGCCACCGACTCATAGCAATAGTCAGAACTACTTTAGGAAATAGTTTAATGTTGAGAATAGAATATTTGACGACAATTACAGATAGTGTAATAATAATGTAGTCTAGCACTAATTTAGAAAATAGTATAATGTTAAAAATAAGCCATTAGACAACAGAAATACTTATAGATGGCCTAAACTGAACTGTCCCACCAAACAAACTCATTGATAGGGGGGTGCTACCATCGTTCAACTATATAGTTTTGGAAACTATCAAATCAATTTGGCAAAAATCGGAACCAGCGATTGGGTATTGATGGTGGTGGCGCCCCGCTGTCAATATCACGGATAGGACAGTTCAGTATATTGGATCTATATGTGACAAACGCCGCTAAAGCTGAGCTTAGCAACTTTTTTCAAATCCAAAAATGTGAAATACTCTTTGTTATTGTCATCTAAGTTGGCGTCACATGCTGGTATACTACAGAGGGCCTAGTGTGAGTTTACATCAAACGCGCGCGAGTTTACATGACATTAAATGTACGACGATTGCACAGCGCCCCTAGCGGGAAACGTTCAAAAACTTCAGTGAGCGCGTTTGATGTAAACTCACACTCAGCCCACTGGTATGTTTATAATGCTATAGAAAATAGCGTAAATTAAGCCGTAAATTCTTTATTGCTTACTTGAATAATTAATTATAATTATATTTAATAAGCACGCTAGTTTTTAGAAATCAGTCAAAATAATAGCCTTTTGCACTATTCTCGTCGCAAAACCAGTTACATAGGCAGTTCCTTTTTCACAACAGAAGAACAATGTTAGTTATCAAAACAATATTATATGTAGTGTTTATGTGTAGACACACGTATTTCAAAGCGATCTATGAAATTCTTAAATGGTTTTTAATGTGTAGTGTAGGATGTATTTGATTTGTCAATCTCATATTTTTTGTCATACTTGACAATAATTGTGCAGTCAAAATCAAAAATAACAGTGAATGTGCTCAAATCTTACAAATCATACAGTAATCCCGTGCGACGCGTCAATAACTGTAAATATATTTTTGATGTTGATTGTGCCTGTAAGTGTAAGTAAATAAGTAGTGTAAAGGCCCTTAATTTAAAACAAAAATACCCAAATATGAATCTTCAAGCGTACTTAAGTTTAAATTTACCTTTGGGCATCGTTTTAGAATACGGCCTAAGTGTTAGACTAAGCTAGGTAGCACAGACCGATATTTTTAAGGCTGAATCTGTAGCACTAATAAATCGTTTATAATTAACTTCGCATATAAAATAATACGTTTTGTACAAGAAAATCAACTGCGCTTAAACAATATTTTTATAGTGTATAAATCATCAAAAGAATGTATTACTGATTTATTTTCCAACAATTTGTACTTTGATTGAAGAAACTAATAAATTAAGATTTATTTAACCTCGTAAGCCCGGATGTGCCTCAGAAGGAACTGAAACTTTGTAGTCAGTAACGCCGAGACATTTTCGGAGGTGAATTGTAAGTATCGCCGGATGTGCCCTCAGAGGAACTAAAACTTTATCGATAATTTTAAGTTCAAAAATTCGCGCCTATTGAATAAAAAGAGTGATAGTCTATGGCTTAAAGTATTCAAAATCAGGTATCCGGACTTATTAATGTAAAAAAAACAAAATGTCACTGTCAAATTATCATTTTTCTTTGACAAGGTGATTTTTCCGAGAGGACGTGATGTACGATGAATTTTTTTTCTTCACGTAAACGTAGTTTAATTTAAAAACTAACCAGTACAATTTAAGTTAAAATACTGCTAAACAAGCAAAAAAAATATTTTTACCAATTCGAAGAAGTTTTGTAAGATTTTTTTTCGTTTGAAAATAATAGTTCTTTGCAAGGAACATTCGGTCTTGAAGGTGAAAGTTTTATTTTTGTATATTTTTTGTATTGAGATGGATTGAATATTGGACTTTTAAAATTATGATATGATTGAGAAAATTTACCATGAGAACGTTCTGATTTTTAGTTTAATAAATATTATAATTAACATGAATATTCACTTTACTTCTTATACATTCTAACCTATCATTATTAGTATGTTATAAAACCGATAGTACTTTTAAAAGTACTAATAATGAAACATTAAATAAAATTAAAATAGTTGTGTCTTTTCAGTTACATTTATTTATATCGTTATTGTATCTTTATGTAGTATTAATTTATTAAGGAGGTTACATTTATGTTTTACTTTAAAGTATAAAATACAATTTATTTACTTTTTCTTTTTAAAGTCTGTAATACCGAATGTTCTTTTAAGAGAAAACATTTTTTTATTATTTTTTACCTAAAATAAGCTCTATGCACTATTATATAGGGTCCCTTAAAATAAGGTAATACAAAATAAGGGTGCAAAAGAAAATCTCTAACATAGAAAATTTTTTACTCGAAGTGCTCGGCGTTTACGACTTCAAATTGTTCGTTCTTCTGAAAGCACATTCGGCGATACTTAGAAGTCGATAAAATTTGCTCTTCGGTCTTACGAGGTTAAAGTTTTGATTTACTTTGTCTCCCTACACTTTCGGTTACGTCTCCTTTAATATTTTGTTCAAACCCTGGCCTTGAAAGCGGTTAACAAACCCAGACAATTATCTTTCATAATCAGTGTCTAATATAATAACATTCAAAAATATTATGACTGTTACATGCCGTGATGAGAATATAGTAAATAATAATTGCAAAGTTCAAACACACACCAGATTTGATAAAAGACTTTAATATAATATTTTCAGGGTACAGCATATCACAGGAACTATTAATTTTTTAACTCAGCTTAATAAATACGTTAAGGACCGGTTTTTCTAATGTCAAGAACTCAAGATGTAGTTTAATACATATTTTTGGTAAAATAAATACCTATGTCAAAACATGTTGTCCACAAGTAAAAGTTTACTGACAACAGAAAAATAAGCCCTAAATTATATGTTATTTAATCTACAATAGTTTCGACGTCCAGAGGAGTATCAGGTCGAGGAGGTTCTAAAGATTCATTTGTTGGGGAACAACAAACGGACGGTGAAGATGTTACAGTGAGGTCTTGGGGAAAGTCGTTGGTATTTTCCGAAAGTGGTCGATACTCTATATGGGAAGGGGATAGAGTAACAGTAGCATTGGGAAAAGTATTTATGTCTGATGTTTTATGGGAGGCCCAAGCGTCTCCTGCTGTAGGTAACGCCCCCTGGTGGTTGAAGAGAGAAGTCGCTGGCAGCGCCATTTCTCTCGGCGGGGTTATGGCGGTCATTTTCTCTCTTCTCTCTCGTGCTCGACGGTTTTGAAACCATATTTTAATCTATAAAGCAAAAGAATCTAATTATTAATTTATTATAATGTTTCATAGATCAGAAAACTATTTGATGAAGTGTTACAAGTGCGTGTGTGCAAGCACTCACGAACTCTACCATACAGTTTTAAGTGTCTACTATTATGGTTCAGAAATGATACAGAACCCGAAAAATTTTATAAATTCTAAGTCGCATCAGTCGCGTGTATATTTTGACCTAAACTTTGATTATTTACATAAATGTTTTGCGTTGATTGATAAGCAGCGATTAGGGTCCCAATGTACAGTCACGGAATGAAAAGGTTCGTCAGTTTTCAAATTGATTCCTTCAACGAATCGCGAGCACATAATAATATTACCTTTTGAAACTATGTTACAGAATAATCTCGAGTTAGAGAAAATAATCTTTAACTGTTCGTCAGTAAAGTTCAAAATTATTCAGATCAAAGTTGTTTGACGATTTATCTTGTCAAAAAGATTATTATGATTTATAAACTAAAACCTTCTTGTTGGTTCAACCTGCCATTATTATTTCTTATAAAATAAAATAAAAACTATTGTCAATTGGTCAATGTCATCATTGCATTGCACTGATGGGATAGAAAAATAAACAAGCAAAACCTTATTCGTTAGCAAACGTCATATTTATTTAAATGTTAGCAGCACTGTTTCTTGCACGGTTATGTTGGCAGGTTTGACTCTTACAAGTGCAAGCGAAAACTGACACTAAGGTGACGAACCTTTTCATTCCGCGACTGTACATTCATGCAAATTATTCGCGTGACCACTAAGAGATTGTAGTCTACCTACTGCATGTCCTTGATGATTGATGCCGCAAAAAGCTAGGAAGGATGCAATTACTTAATGCCTCTAGCATAGTGCAGAAAAAATGTAAAATCATAGTTTTTTAAGTTACCTAAAGTGTGATGTTGCGTAACGCGTTGTTATCTCTAAATTTCCCCAATGTATTATTTAATAAAAATTAAAAATCAAGAATTTTATCACTAGTTAGGTACTACCTAATAGGCCATACTCTTGACACATGTTGCTATCAGCAAACAGTCGCTAACGGTTACTTAATACACACATTTTGCGTATTTAACTTAGTATTGAGCTAAAGTAAGTGGATTCGAAATACATAAATCGATCTGAAAAGGAACGGAGTTTGCTGAAAAGACACCATAAGGGACACCATAAAAATAGAAGGTTTTAAGAATGAATGGAGATTAAGAACTACTCCTGGTGAAATATAGAGTCACACAACCCCTAAATAGGTACACAACATACACCAACATACTCGTAGCTATTTGTTTATGCACAACGAGGAAGCTCTTGACCTGTTTCTCACCTGATGGAAAGTGATGATCAGGTTGAAGTTATTCTACTTACATATTTCAGAGGACACAACAAGAAAAGGAATTTTATTATGTAACATTAGATAATACAGGCCGGAAGACATAGTATGGACAGGCCCCCAACTAGGTGGACCGACGATCATGTGAAGGTTGCGGGAATAACCTGGATGCGCGCAACCCAGGACCTGTCGTTAAGGAAATCCTAAGGCGGAGGCCTTTGTCCAGCAGTGGACGTCAATTGGCTGGAACGAAGTTAATAAGACTCGGAGGCCATCGACCACAGCCACCGGTGTGGCCAGCGATAGCGACTTAACACACTTTTTAATACATTTTGTATAGACGCGCCGCACAGTGGTCTGAAAATGAAGCTCCCATACCATAGAAACTTAATGTCAGAAATTAATAAATAAAAATATGCATTGTGTTTAGTATACCTCCCTTTGTTTTACTAATATAGTATGAAGGGTATGAGTAGCTCCATGTGTGAGAAAAAAAATATTTTATTTTTTTTTGTATGGAAAAAAACACTCAAAGTGGATTTTTTTAAAACTGAATAGAACTGAAGGGCTGGTACTCACATGAGCTATTGCACCATACATGGCGATCAAGATGACATACAATTCTTGTGCCGTTGGGTGCCGCTTTGCACGTAGCAAGCTTTGGAAATTTTGAATTTTCGGTAGGTGATATTTCAAGTCTTTGTTGTGATTTTATGAAGTTATTAACCGCTTTCAATACGAGAATAGTATGTAAATTAATACTCATATAACTAGGAATATACTAGGGATATTTTTAAATAATTTTTATTTTGAAAATATAAAAAAATAAAAAGTTTAATCATTGAATGAAGTAACCAACCGGTTGGTTGGCATTGTTATTAGTTACTAACCTGCTAATGACGTTTTAATGAAAATAATAGAAATCAATACTGATTAAATAAACAACTTAAAAAATCGAACTGCCTAATAGGCCAATTACATTTGAAATCGAAAATAATTCCTACAAAAGATTTTATTGTTTTAATGGCTTCATTTGTTACCCATTAAGACTACCCTAAATGGCAAATGCCAGATTTTGTATGAAAGGTGGCGTCTGTTTTTTTCGCGCGGCCATCGACCAAACTTTGTTTTTTTATTACAAAATAGTGTAATAAACCAAACTTACTATGACATGTATACCTCTAAACTCAGTCTGAACTGAGTTACGAGCGTTAGAAGTTTGATGATTTACATACTAGATTTGCTTTTTGCGCGCAAGTTTTGTAAGAAATTGCAACAAAATAGAGAATAAAAAACGCTGATTTCCGGCATTGTCTTTTTCGACTTCGACGGAGTTGTGCTTAAGTGGTGGGTTTCGGTTTTACGGTTATATCGCGTAAAAGACTTACCCTATCAAAAACTGGTCTTCATGACGGTTGAAGGGCATTTAATCCTGCATTGAATAAGATTAAATTCATATGTTTTGGACAAATCGTTCTCGTGATTATCTTCGAAAAAGTACAAAATGTACGTATAATTAATGAACCTCTCAACGTCCAATGGCTCGTCACTCGCAGGCTCCCAAGCCTTGTAAAGGGCCGACTCAACCAGTTTAACCCTGTCAAGGCTTAAGAGCTGGCATGTACCTATCCTTGTTCGTCCCAGCCATTCCTTAACTGCAGTTACTGCACCTCTTCCTTGCACTCTCCTGAACAACTCTGTGTTACCAGGCATCGATTAGGCAACGGTATCGAATGGCTGGGACGAACAAGGATAGGCGCATCCAGCTCGTAAGCCTTGACAGGGTTACACTGGTTGAGGCGGTCCTTTTCAAAACTTGGAATCCTGCGGGTATCGAGCCATTGGACGTGGAGAGGATCATTAATTATACGTACATTTTGTACTTTTTCGAAGATAAGCACGAGAACGGTTTGTCCAAAACATATGAATTTAGTCTTATTAAATGCCCTTCAACCGTCATGAAGACCAGTTTTTGATAGGGTAAGTCCTTTACGCGATATAACCGTAAAACCGAAAAAACGCCCCTTTCGGGGGCCCTCACCACTTAAGCACAACTCCGTCGAAGTCGAGTCGAAAATTTAGGATAGTTTTAATGGGTAACAAATGAAGCCATTAAAACAATAAAATCTTTTGTAGGAATTATTTCCGATTTCAAATGTAATTCTATTGGCCTATTAGGCAATTCGATTTTTTAAGTTGTTTATTTAATCAGTATTGATTTCTATTATTTTCATTAAAACGTCATTAGCAGGTTAGTAACTAATAACAATGCCAACCAACTGGTTGGTTACTTCATTCAATGATTAAACTTTTTATTTTTTTATATTTTCAAAATAAAAATTATTTAAAAATATCCCTAGTATATTCCTAGTTATATTAGTATTAATTTACATACTATTCTCGTATTGAAAGCGGTTAATAACTTCATAAAATCACAACAAAGACTTGAAATATCACCTACAGAAAATTCAAAATTTCCAAAGCTTGCTACGTGCAAAGCGGCACCCAACGGCACAAGAATTGTATGTCATCTTGATCGCCATGTATGGTGCAATAGCTCATGTGAGTACCAGCCCTTCAGTTCTATTCAGTTTTAAAAAAATCCACTTTGAGTGTTTTTTTCCATAGAAAAAAAAATAAAATATTTTTTTTCTCACACATGGAGCTACTCATACCCTTCATACTATATTAGTAAAACAAAGGGAGGTATACTAAACACAATGCATATTTTTATTTATTAATTTCTGACATTAAGTTTCTATGGTATGGGAGCTTCATTTTCAGACCACTGTGCGCCGCACACGTGTATCCGGTGGCGGGTACTCGCTATAGTAGTGTCCTCCGCGACGCGCCACTAGTGGTCACTACGTGCCACACAAAACGCTGACACTCGCCACTGTCGCACTGCTCCGCCCCCGCTAGAGATGGGTTGGATTAAAATATTTTATATTGGTACTGATTTACCTAATCCAAATACCTATTCCGAATACCTATTGCGATTGTGGTCAAATACCTGCCTTGTTATGCATAAAAAAAAAAATTTAGCAATGAGCGGGTTATTAAATGTGGCGGCTTCCAGACACCGCGTGGCTGTCGCTCGCTTCTGACACTCTTAGAAATGTGGCGGTAGCGCGCGACATCCGTCGATGGCCCATTTGCGCTGACACTAAATCTTGATTACCCTGTCGTCTCTGAGCTGCAAAGCCGCGGCGAGGGCCCTCAGCGCGGGTGGCGCGAGATACGGCGCGCGCGCGTACGCCGCCTCCAACGCCGCCGCCTGCGCAGCCGTGAACGGCACCCGCGCGTGTCTGCCAGACCGCCGCGACCGGCAGGCGCTGCTTGCTGACCCTGACACAACCAACAATCACTTGGGTAAGGAAAATACAATCGCATAATAAGCTAGCTACAACAAACAATTATTTGAGTAAGAACAATAATCCTCAATCACATGAAGTGGTGAATGCTGCTGCTACGACCTCTTCTGGGCAAACAATCAGTTTAATTTCCTAAATCGCTTCAGCCCGACTTTTCTTTAAGAGTCACTTAAAATTTCTCTCCGTGAAGCGATTGTGGAATCATGAGGAAAATTTTTCCATTTGGAATCCGACTAACCTCCCACATAATCTTAAATTTTCATCAGCAATGTTTGAACTAGCAAAATGTTATTTTAACATTTTTCTACATAAAATTGTTTTCAGCAGAACGTGGCTGAAGTTCCACAAGCTAGAAGTCACTGGTTGTTTTTTCGGCTATAGGAAAATAGATAGGTAGGATTTTAATTTACTTTTACACCTATAAAATGCTAAAATCCGACTAATGAAATGGTTTCAACCTAATTAAAAGTTTAAGTACTGCAGCTACTGCGACAAACAAACTCGCAACAAAAAAACTATAGTTTAGGCAAATGTAACTAACGTGGTAACCGAGGTGGTTGATACCGGGTGCAACACAACCAACTAGGAGGCTCTGCGCTGGAACTCCTGCCGCTCCCAGCATCACTGCTCAGTATCCTTTCTATGCTGAAATCCGAACCGCACTTAGCACTGGACTGGACAGGGGAAACGTCCATGTTTACACTGACCTCGACTGGTTACAATTAAAAAGGGATATACCACAAATAATGTGGGCACCAAGAAGGGTGGGTTCATCCCAGGCCACGCCTCTAGGACGGGGATAAAGGCATCCCTTTGTAGATGTTATCTACCACCGCAATCAATGGAGAGCACGCACCAATGAGCTTACGAGTGTTGTGACGCCGGCTCATTCATACGTTTTGCAAATTGAATGAGAAATGGATACTGTTTACACACAAAAGGATGAAATTACTTTAAGGGGATGTGGGAAAATTAATTTGTAACAGAATTGTAATCCTATTGTTGGGGATATTAACCTATGGACTTATGAAACGTGATATCTTGTTGTGGGTAATAACATATTAAAACTCAATTAGTTTTTACGTTCATGCAATGGGGAAGTTCGTCTTTTACTAATTCATATTTCATTAACATTTTAATAACCATCCGTCTGTGTAACAACTTTAGAAGTGATCATTTTATTCATTTATTTAGAAAACCAAAGGCGCTTCTAGGAATTCTTTCCAGCTAAATATTTTAAATTAAGTATTCCTTTAACTTTGAGCCAACAGGCGTGCGTGGGTCAAAAGTGCCGTAGAAAAAAAAGAAAATTCAATTTTCCATAGGAAAAACTGTTTAAAGTTACACTCATTTCAATGAAACAGACGTTTTCAAATGTGGCCCATTGCAACTGCTTTAAAAGGCAAATTAAATAATGGGCACAGTAATAATGCTAATAGTTACCGCTATCAGTTGATCTTACGCAATTTATCTCTATTCATTTATAATTGCATCCCGACGGTCCACAAGTGGCACATCGTTTTATTGTTAGCATTTCGACACAATGCTCGGGAAGGACAAACCGTTGTGTTAGTCCTTCAAACAATGTCTGCGGATTGTGGTAGGTATCATGTCATCGGCAGATAACCGAAAAGATAATTCAAGTATTTACCCAAGTATAACATTAAACTGCGGCTGCGCCGCCGATCGCTTAAGAATCATTTAAATGTAAACGATAGTAGGTACTTAGTTATCAGTTAACCAATGTTTACATTGTAATTCATTCTTGGGGAAATGTATTACCATATTTATTTTAACAAAATACCACACAACCTTGTCGAATTGCCTTTAAACAAATTTAAGATAAATATAAAAAATACCCTTATGTCCAAAGGGTACTATTCTTCTTACCGTTAGATAATTCCTGGCAATTAAGTAGTGGTGACTTCATGGTGACTGAGTTTGTTCCGGCGTTTCCTCTCAGCACTTGCCATATGTTTGTCTCGAAGCGCTGGTAGGGCCCAAAAGATAAGTGCCCCATAAGGGCTGCCTTTTCTTTTTTATTATTTACTATATTTTGACGTTCATAAGTGCCACTTGTGGTCTAAACTGAATAAATATTTTTTGATTTGATTTGATTTCATTTAAATTATATTATATATAGTATATTGTTGTGTGACTATTGATGTTATGGTAATGAATGAAATAGGTAAATAGCAATAGCATAAAAAGGATAAAGATTTACGTAAACATAAATGGGTAAATGAAGCTATCATGCCATGGTGGCACAAATAGGGGAAAGTAGTACGAGTTGATCCCCTGGGGTAAGATGATCCTTTGCGATTGTGCTGAAACCACTAACGTCATTTAGTTTCTTTCACTGGTAAAACATAGCTCTGGACACCTCCCCGCCTCAGTCAAATCGTAATGGTAGCGTGAGCCATACATCGAATTTGACGAGAAAAAAGAAAAATTGTGTACTTCTGATCTAAAATAGGCATGACTTTGAGCTTATGTTACTTTTATTCAAAGAATGTTCAATGTAATTACTGTTGTGGTTAGGCTTTCTATTATGTTTAATTTTAATATTTTGGCCATAAAAACGTAGTCGCGTACTTGTAGATTATTTTAGCAAATATTAAACAAAAAGTGGGACTTGGGTCAAGATGATCCCTTCCTATATGTACGAGATGATCCCTGGGAATTAAAACAAAATAGTCAATAGAATAGGTAAAGGGAAGTGAAATAAAAGTAAAAGAACTTCATATAACTCACCTGAGTCTGAAGAAGATGATACTGAGTGGCTGTACTGAACAGAAAAGTTTTCAAGCGATACCAAGGGTGAAGGATGGATAAAATGTTAAATGCATGTGGAAAATGGGGCCATAAAGCATGTGCTGGGTTAGAGGGTGATGAAGCAGGTGAATTTATTTGTGATATATTCAACACAGCTCCAGCCAAAAAGCGTTTAAATTATTTAAACGCTTTTTAGCAGGTACTAAGAAAGAATAAGTTATTTTCGTTATTTAATTCGCAAATGTTTTTCTTTTCTAACTTTTTAACGATTTGTTCGCATAATTAGGTACTCCGAAAGGAATACAACCAGAAAAGAATAGATCATAGAATAGAATCTTATGGATCATCTTACCCCTACCTGGGGGATCATCTTACCCACAGGGGTGTACAAGATGATCACTTTGTAAGGTTTTGCAAAAAATGAAATATTTTAATGAAACCTCAATTAATTTCTGGTTCTGAGTATAAGGAAAGTTGGCTAGATAAATATACTAGTAGTAATCGTCTTTATTTTTGGTTTACCTTGAAAAATGTGTGTTTTACAGCGATTCCCGCTTAAGGGGATCATCTCGTACTACTTTCCCCTATACTTTTACACTCATGTATCCGGGTTCATTATTAAATTAGATGTTCATTTCCTGTTGCTGTTACAAACAAACAGCGCTTGAGAGCGCTTACAAACAAAACTTGAGTTCCATTATTCTGAGACTCTACTCAGAGTATAACGGTTGCAAAAACCGGTACCAGTCTACCCAAAGTACACATAGTTGCCTTGACTGCTGCGTAGGCGCCTATTACCGCAGACACCAACTGCACCGCAGTGCTGCGCCGTCACTCAACCAGGACGGTTATTTTAAGCTAATTAGTTAAATAGTTCGTAGTAAACAAATACTAAAACTTAATTATGTCGAACAAGGAGTATTTTGTTTTGGAGAACGGCGATCGGATGCCTCGCATCGGTTTTGGAACATGGCAAGTGAGTGCATTGAGATCAAATAACTGTTTTATAAAACTTCGATTAAGTTCGTGTTTATTTAGGCCGTAATTGTTTTGCATTGAGCGCAGAAGCATTTGTTCTGCAAAAGTTTTTTTAACTAAATAGGTATTTTGATTAACATTATAAAATATTAAGTGTTTGTGTTTCGATTTATTAATTGAAAAAAATATAAAATACTTGACTTACTATTTAATTTAAAATAGAAAGGGACATAAACAGGAAACAGAAATTTTAATATTTATGTAAAGGTAGGTATTAATTAGAGCAAAAGTTCCTAAATACGTCCTGGATAAACTTAATTAATATTAGAGTTTAAAAGTTCCGAAATTACGTAGGTAAACCGTCGCGTCGTTCCATCTTCATTTTTAAGATTAGTGAACTCGTGGGAAATTCAAATTCGGTGTGATTGTTAGCAACTGTACTAGATTTAGATATTATGCGTTTTCCCACAGGGTAAACTAACGGTTTTCCTTAATCTTGTTTGTCTTGTTGCCTTTGCGCTTTGCTTTAAAATGGCGTTTAAAATAGTTAATTAGTGAAGTCCATTTCGATTTGTGAATCTTCGTGGTAGAATCGACGATGAGGCAGGGTCTCTCGAAGCCTCCAGGAAGGTGTTCCGATTCGCAAGAGCAGACGCTGCAGTAGGAGTACGAATCTGTGCCGTCGTAGTCTCCGCTGGACCTGGAAGGATGGCCCCTGGAGGTAGAAGCGTGGCAAATGTTGCTGTCACATGACCAATCCTTCGCTAGTGCCGCTTGCCCGATATCCTGGCTTGGCTCCAGTGACTGGCCAGACATAGCTCACATTGTGATGTGTGTTTTCTCGTTTTTTCTTTAACTCTACTTTGACTTGTCCATTTTCAATGTAAGCTTCACAGAAGAGAACGGTAGAGACTCCAAAGACTCAAGGTTTTTATTGTTGTGACGTATTATGTCATTCAATGTCAATTTGCATTGTAAAAAGTATTTTTTATTAACTTTATCGAAGGCAATTACGCGCTCAAGGTTCCGTATAAAAATATTGGAATTTTTTGCTAGGAGATGCTCAAAGATGTTTTTGATTGAGATGAGATGATTAAAGTTAATCACATGAATCCCTAGATTTTCCTTGTTTAGGTGGAAAAAAAATCCAGTTTAACTCGTATTAATTGCTTCGAACATTTATATTTTAACTAATGAAGCAGACGAGCAGTTAATGTACCTAATTAATTAATGTTCATTAGTTTTCCCATTAGCTCATCGAGCCTTTGCCTGATAAGGTGTTAGGTGAAGGTTGCACAAAGATTACACAATTACAAATTAAACACGAGCTTAGTGCAATTACCTACTGTACCTAGTCGATTCTTCCAAATAAACAATTTATAAAAGGGAATAAATATTATGACCACCAGAAAATACTTCGATACCCTAAGCTCTTTTACCAAAAATATATATATACTTAACACCAAAAAAATTAAGCTTAAAAAATAATAGTTCTAGCTGTTTTATTCACGACTGTAGTTCAAATTGTATTTGGGGACCAAAAATAGTAAATGATCACCAAATATTTGCGAGCAAATTAATGTGCTATTTTTGCCCAGTTAAACTACTATGATTTTAGATAGGTACAAAGAGCTTGAAAACATTTTACAATAGTAAAGGGTCAAACTAGGAGTTTATTTACTGTGTTTGGTTAAAAAATATTTGTAAAGCGTAATTTACTTTAATAGGAAAACGAGATCTTAAATATTATGCATGTCATTTTTAATTTAATGTAGTTAATAGTTTGGTGTTCATTAACTATTTTTGGGTCAACAATGATTTGTTTGGAGTCATTTGCTTTAATAGGGTAGCAAGATGTACAAACTTTGGTTATAGTTTTAAATTAAAATGCGGTTTTATATTCTAGTGATCATTTACTATTTTTGCCTGTGATATTTTATTAAATCAGGTGATCAGTTAAACATAAGCCTTTATAAAACAATATTTAAATACCCACCTACATAATACGTTATTATAACTGCGTAATAAAAACATTTTACATGCTGAAATGTAATTTGATTGAGAGCTGTTTAAACATTTTATCTACAATTTATTTACTTACCCCCATACTAATAAAAAGTTACACAGTTGTTGAACACTGTTTTAAAATGACATTTCCATACTAAACGTCACTTTAAAACACTGTTCAACGAGCGTGTAAGTTTTATTAGTAAGGGGGTTATTCTACTAGGTACTGATCACGCTAGGGTTCTTAATCAATATTTGTGGAGGCGCGGGCGCCCAGCGGGCACCCAGACGTCAGCTATTCTCGGAATGTGTCGTTTTTAGTTTTTCGTGCCTTAGAAAATGAAGGCAATAATGAAATCAATAGTAGGAAGAGGATTAACCACAAGATCGATCGATTACACGAAAGCCTAAAAACGTGAGCTCTATTTGTACATACTTGAGCGGATTTTTTTCTTAGTCACCCAATGACGGGACTATCCCCACCTCTCATTCCCTCCACTGCAACTCCTGTATGTGGAGCCAGGATCTACAGCTTGACCGCCACAAAAACCCAACCAATGAAGGTCAAGTTTGTCCCGGGGGAAAGTTAAACTGTCATTGGACCCGCAACGAAATTAATCAGAAGAACATAGGAGGAGTTCGAAATTAAGGTTCCACCCAATGAGTTGATTAGTTTCGTATTGGTCAGTAGCTTCTTTTGTTTACAGGCCTCCGATGACGTGCTAGAGAAGGCCGTGGAGGCGGCTCTAGCGGCCGGCTACCGGCACATAGACACAGCGCGCGCGTACGAGAACGAAGCTGCTTTGGGCCGCGCGCTCAACCGCTGGATCGGAGGAGACCCGGCCCGGAGGAAGGAGCTGTTCGTGGTCACTAAGCTACCACCTGGAGGTGAAGTTTATCTATAATAAATAACCTTAGACTTGTTATGCTGCACCATCTAGTATAGGCGTCTAATGACGTGCTAAAGAAGGCCGTGGAGGCGGCTCTAGCGGCCGACACATAGCCAGACACAGCGCGCGCGTACGAGAACGAAGTTGCTTTGGGCCGCACGCTCAACCGCTGGATCGAGGGAGACCAGCCTCGTAGGAAGGAGCTGTTTGTTGTCTCTAAGCTAGGAGCCGCCCGGAGGTACAATTTACCTAAACCTTAGACATTTTATACTGCACGATTTACTGTAAGGTTGTCAAATCCTGGGCCGCGCGCTTAACTGCTAGATCGGAGGAGACCCTGCCCGGAAGCAAAAGCTGTTCGTGGTTACTAAGCTACCACCTGGAGATTAAGTATACCCTCAACATCATCACCATCATAAAGTCATTTGTTTACTCTCCACCGCAGGAGCACGTCGACCCACTCAAGGGGAAAATGAAGGATTTGGCCTACACTGCCTATGCCGGCCAGAAAGGTGAAAGGAGGCAGACTTGATATTCGCATATTTATATTGTTCCTTAGTCACCTTTTACGATATCCAAGGGAAGACCACATTAATTAAAGGTCTGATTGTAGACGAGCCTCCATTTGCCTTCGGTAAAAAGAGGATCACGCTCCTGCAATGACGAGCTGACAATTAAACGACCTGATTATCAAGATAACTGTTGTCTTACAGGCAACCGACCCGACCTAGTCCAAGAGTACTTCGACGCGTCGCTCCGGGACCTAGGCCTGGATTATGTGGACCTGTACCTCATGCACACGCCCTTCGCCTTCGAGCACGTGCCGGGAGACCTGCACCCTGCGAACCCCGACGGGACCATGCGAGCGGACCTCACCACCGACCTCGTCGCTGTTTGGAAGGTATTGCATTCAATTTTTTACGCAGGACTGTAACTAGGTGCTCTTCCAAAATCTTATCAGGCCCGCCAGGCGAGCACCCAGAAGCGTTTCGGGTGTCCTATAAAAATGATTGATGATGTGAGTTGCTTATAAATTCACACAGTTAAACTAAATGCAACTTAAATAAGACATTATTTTATCTTTCTCAGTAATCATAAAAGTGTGTAGATATTTCTGATGTTTATAATGCATGCGTAAAATAAAACGTAAAGTACCTTGCTAATACCTAAAATAAAGTAAAAAATATTATCTCTGCCCTCTCCTTTCACCTTTCAATATTATGTCACTTTCCATCCAGTTTTTTTAAAAATGAAAAATTTGCAGTACCTAATTCGCTGAAAAATTAAATAATCTTATTCTAATTCATCAGTAAAGAAAATGGGTTTTACATATTCCGGAAACTGCTTGGACTTTTCCAACAACGTTAAAGGGAAACTGCATGATTTTAAACAAATCAGTGTTAATGCAATATACAGAAGTAATTCGATTTACAATGACTGCACTTGTCCTAAAACCTTCTCCAAGAATACTCCTAAGAGGAAGAAAGCACAGAAACCTTCCAAAATTAAAAATGCGACAAAGAAAGCACTCGCCCACGCAACCGATCCAAACAACGACCGTTTCTTCTGGTCGAAGGTTTACAAATCACCAACAATCAAAAGGCATGAAACCAACAATTCTATCGTCAAAGATAAGTCAATAACCCCCGCAGATTTCAGTTTCCTATTCCCTGAAAAGATAGAAAATGATAGTTCAAACAATATCGAAGTCCCGTGTATCACGACTCAAACAATAGGAACTTCAGTGACATCATTTCTGAGACCATCATTGAGTAAAAGAATAAGATTGTGGTCAATACTCAACTTCCCGAAGTTTGCATGTCCTTGTTGCACCGGGGGAGGCAGCGACGCCGTGGAGTCTGAATATTGCTACCGCAGTGCTGCGGAGTCGTATGAAACTATAGATCTGAAGGCTGATTCAAAAACTGCTTTTCCCTCTTTGGAATTGGACCCCTCACTCATGAGCATATTACGCCTGCACCGGAATATAAAGGCAAAGAAGACCCCAAAGATTTACGCAAAAATTATTAAAATCGTTCTACAGAATACATACAAAAATGCTGTAACTATTTTACAGACGATAAAAGCGATTTAACGAATAGAAAATCAACGCATGACTAAAGAATAGGAATAAGTTAATTATTGGAATAAAATACAACATTTCAGTGTAGAAGAGAAAAACCTATAAAATATTGAACCTACATTATATTCAAAAATCATCTGCCACTGTCATAGAAGAAACAAAAATATAATCGTCACTATGACAGATTTCTTCTAAACCATTTCAAAATTGTGTGTAAAATTTTTAGAAATATGTAGCAGAAACAACATATATATCTTTAATGAATTCGTCATTTGGGCTGGTTTTATAGAATACTATTGACTTAATATTTCTACTTGGAAGATAGTCGTCACCTGGAATCCAATAATGAAGCTAAAGAGTCATGGCAAAATCATCTTCACCAACGCCCAGCGCTCGCAGTGAGGCTGGGTACAGCGGTGTGGCGCGCAAGCCGAGGCGCTGCAGGCCGAGGTGCTGCACTAAGGAAGCATGTCGCCGCTTTTGGTGCGACAAAGTTTGTTGTAAGCGGTGCCGGTGCTTTAAGATATGTGGACGGCGGATCAAACGCAAATGGCGCAGGTATTGGGCAGAGAGACATTGCTACATTCCGAAGCGCGTAAGGAGAAAGTGCAAAGACTTCTTGCTATGTCAATGTTGTTGTTGCGCGTGTTGTTACACCTTGACTGACGAAGAATACGACAAAATCACACAACCGCCACCTAAAAAGTATCCTCCTCCACCGGCACCTAAAATCACTCGGCGCGAAGAGCACGTGGAATACATAAAGAAACGCTCCTCAAGAAGCCCGAAACGCAAATTTGATAAGAATATAAAATCTAACGAAAATGAAACGGAAGTTTATTTCTGCACCGTCAAACCACCCAGTTTCAATTCAAATAGTCTCAAGCTACACCCTCCTGTAATGCCAGCTGAATTTAATGCAACAGGTACCTAAAATGAATGCAGACCTAAACATTAATTTTATGTCTATTGCCAAAAAGGTTAATAGTAACTCTGATAATAAAATATCTTTACGTTTACATCGAAATTTAAATGACCACTTCGGAACTTTTAATCGGTCGCAATCCACGTCTCCTTTAAATAGAGTGTGCACTAGAAAAACGAAATACATAAAAAGTTCCAATTTATCAAATATATTTTTTTGTTGCATAGGAAATAAAGAAAAAGGAGGGAAGGATTCCAACAGACTTCGACCGAAAGTTGCCTCATCAAAACGGGAGAAGCATACCCCAAAACTATACTTCCAACACAAAAGTTCTGTCGCTAGAAACATATGCGACTTTAGTTGCCAAAACAATTCACAATCGAACCAAAGTCTCGAGTTAAAGTCGCATACACTGTCAAAATCTATTTCTCAGCATTCGTCAGTACAAAGTGTTTTTAGTATCAAATGGAGACGACGATTCCGAAGATATGAGAAGGCACCCAGCACGCTTCAAACTATACTGTACAGTTTAGCTAGAAAGTTTAAAAGCAATAAGAAAAAAACTAAATCAGCCCAAAAACATGACAAAAAGAATGTTCTTGTGCTACATGTGCCAAAAAAATTTAGCAACACGTCGATAGTGGGCACAGTTTCCGCCACTCGCAGCTCGAGAGCTGAGAAGCCTTTGATCATCAGAGACGAGTCCTCGCAGGCCTTGCCCATCGAGCACAGCAAACCGCCTAATAAGATATGTGGACCAGGAGAAGTTCTTGTGAAACGGAATTCTTTCCAGAATGTTCGCTAAGTATGATTCCTTGAAACCAAATAAAACTTTTTAACATTATATCAATTTAGAGTCGACTCAGCCCACTCATGAGAACTTATTGTGTAATAGAAAATAAACCGAATGAAGTTTATAAAAGTAGTAGGTACTTGATGATGCAATGTTTGGTTTAATTTTCAGGCAATACTGAAGCTGAAGGAGTCTGGTCGCGTGAAGCACGTGGGAGTGTCAAACTTGAATGAGGAGCAGCTGGAGCGACTGACGCGCGTGGCCAAGCCAAGTTGCCTGCAGGTACAGCGACAATATAATCAGAAACCCTAAAACATATAGCATTTGCTTCCTCGTAGTACAACTAATGAATATGACATGTCCTCGTCCTCTATGACTGTCGTCAATCGTCATATTATAATTTTCCAGAAACAATTAAATAAAAGAAAAATATAGAACTAAGAATAAGCAGACTGGCCCTAACAGTATGTGGTCTACGAATGTCTATCCCACAAAACGTCAGAAAAAGTGAACGCCGGAAAACATTTGAATGATGGAAAATCGTACAGATACTTGAATATGAATATCAATATTAAAATGTATTTGTATATCTATTTTCAGGTGGAGGTGCACGCGCTGTGCCAGCAAAAGTCGCTGGTCGCAGCAGCCAACAAGCTGGGCGTGCCCGTAGTGGCCTACTCGCCGCTTGGTTCGAAGGCCCTGGCCGATTCCCTCGCCGCCAAAACTGGGTAAGACACCCGTGCAATGCAGAATAAAAATAATTTATACAAAAATCGTAAGGCAGCGTAATATCGTTTGAAAGTTTTTCCAAAATCAAAAGTAATTGATTGTATCTTTGACGAGGACACCGAGACGGAATGCCTCAGCTTCCAAATGACACGAACTTGATGTGCCTATTCCAGCCGCGAGTACCCCGACCTACTCCAGCTAGAAGCTGTGAAGCGCGCGGCGAAGGCGCACGGCCGCACTCCCGCGCAGATCCTGCTGCGGCACCTACTGCAGCGCGGGCTCGCGGCCATACCTAAGAGCACCAACCCCGAGCGTATCAAACAGGTACGAACAGTTTAGTGTCACAGGAACTTGACGTGCCTATTCAAGCCGCGAGTACCCCGACCTACTCCAGCTAGATTCTAGCCGGATTATACCTAAGAGCACCAACCCCGAGCGTATCAAACAGGTACGAACAGTTTAGTGTCACAGGAACTTGACGTGCCTATTCAAGCCGCGAGTACCCCGACCTACTCCAGCTAGATGCTAGCCGGATTACCTAAGAGCACCAACCCCGAGCGTATCAAACAGGTACGAACAGTTTAGTGTCACAGGAACTTGACGTGCCTATTCAAGCCGCGAGTACCCCGACCTACTCCAGCTAGATGCTAGCCGGATTACCTAAGAGCACCAACCCCGAGCGTATCAAACAGGTACGAACTGTTGAGCGTCATCATCACTATCATGTTTTCCCGCTAACTACTTAGATTCATCGTCTGACATAACCAGGATTTCTACTCTCAAACCCAAGTACAACCCGGTCAAGTTAACTGCGCACCTGGCTGGAATGCGACTCCCTCGCACTCATCCGCGTACGCGTAGCCACAAAATCAGTCAGTACTTAAAAGAAACCGCAACTTAGGAACCGCCTTTGGAATACTTAACTATGTATTGTCTCACTTTTATCCACCGACGCTTAATGTAGTGAATTAGATATATCATCAAAGAATCTCCCACGCAACAGCTGACACTAACACTGACGCTAATGCTGCTGTGCTAGGCTAGCTCGTTTCAAGGCAAGGACTTCCAAGTTCTCCATGAAGGAAAAATGAAACGCATTTAAACGAAATAATTTGTTCTATTTCAGAACTTCACTTTATGGGATTTCGAGCTGAGCGACAGTGAGATGGAGGAGCTAGGCGCCCTAGACCGGGGGGAGGACGGTCGCATCTGCGACTTTTCCTTCTTCCGCGGCATCGAGAAACATCCCGAGTTCCCGTTCAAGAAGTAACCAACAAGAAGTGTTTGTCGCCTCGACTGTACTTGTTCATTAGCCCATTGGTTTAAAAGAAATGCGAGTCATAATATGTTTCAAGCAAAATATACAAAATGTCCACAATATGTACTGGTTTCACTTCATCTGTCAGGTAACCTTACAACTTGTAACAATCGAATCTGTAATGACATTACAGGTGAATGGTCCAGGTGAGGAAGCAACTTTACGCTTATGCATTCCCCTGCCATGGCCACGCCATGGCTCCCATCCAGTTTTTGACATTGGCATTCGTAAGCCACCGCAGCGGCTAGCTGAGATTGCCCTCCGGAGCAGGGATTAATCCTTTTAACCAATTCGAACAACAACAAATAACCACGATAATAAGAGCACACTTTCCAAACACAGTAGTAACGGACTTTGCACATTTTCGTAAGTCAGCATTTCCCAGAAGTTTAATGCCACACATTGTGTAAGGTCGAGTACCTACCAATTTTAAAATATCAGTGACAACAGGACCTTTGTGACCAGTGAATATCGTTTCCATTGTCTATTTAGGTATTTCGAAGAAATATCGATCGATATAGTAATAATTATAATCGTTTCAGCCAAATGACGTCGCGTCCACAGCTGGACAAAGGCCTCCCCTAAGGTTCTCCTGCGCTGACCGCATCCAGGTTCTTCCGGCGACCTTTACCAGATCGTCGGTCCACCTAGTAGAAGGCCTGCCCACGCTACGTCTTCCAGCCCGTGATTGCCATTCGAGAACTTTTCTGCCCCAACGGCCATCGTCTCTACGAGCTATGTGCCCCGCCCACTGCCACACTATGGAGCGAAATTGAGATTTATGGACATAGCGATTTTTTTCACAATTTCTATTTGAAAAAAATACCTATCGATAGGTTACGTTATTCTGATGAATAAATGCTTCACAAGTTTTTCTCTAAAACCAATAGTTTGACTGGAAAAAAATATTTTCCATTTTCGTTGTATGGAATGAAACATAAAGTGGTCGATTTCGACTAAGCCTTGACAGATCTTGCTTTGAAACTACTTGAGCCTTGTTCTATGGCTTGTTGACTATAATCCTAGACTAACAGCGCGCGCACAAAGTTGCCCGTTCAGAAGTTATGAGGTTCCGAAAAATGAAAAGTAAAGTAAGTAAAATTGACTTTTCTTTAGATAAGACGACAAGAGAAAGGTTAATTACATTACTAAAGTATATAATTTTCATGTTTTAGTTGAATCTTTAAAGATTTATACCCAAAAAAAGATACTTTTACTTACTTTAATTTTCATTTTTTGGAACCTCATAACTTCTGAACGGGCAACTTTGGGCGCGCGCTGTTAGTGCAGGATTATAGTCAACAAGCCATAGAACAAGGCTCAAGTAGTTTCAAAGCAAAATCTGTCAAGGCTTAGTCGAAATCGACCACTTTATGTTTCATTCCATACAACGAAAATGGAAAATATTTTTTTCCAGCCAAACTATTGGTTTTAGAGAAAAACGTTCATAATATTTATTCATCAGAATAACATACCCTATCGACAGGTATTTTTTTTAAACAGAAATTGTGAAAAAAAAATCGCTGATTTAATTCCTTTTAAGTTTATTAAAATGTGTTTTTAGCAGTAATTTAAGGTTAATTTACATTATTAACGTATAAAATCTTTATATTTTTGTTAAATCTTTAAAGATATTCCAAAAAAAAGTCACTTTTACTTACTTTTTTTTAATTTTTCAGAACCTCATAACTTGTGAACGGGCAACTTTGGATGCGCGCTGATAGCGTAGGATTACAGTCAACAAGCCATAGAACAAGGCTCAAGTAGTTTCAAAGCAAGATCTGTCAAGGCTTAGTCGAAATCGACCACTTTATGTTTCATTCCATACAACGAAAATGGAAAATATTTTTTTCCAGTCAAACTGTTGGTTTTAGAGAAAAACTTGTGAAGCATTTATTCATCAGAATAACGTAACCTATCGATAGGTATTTTTTTCAAATAGAAATTGTGAAAAAAATCGCTATGTCCATAAATCTCAATTTCGCTCCATAGTGTGCCACTTGATTTTAGCAATTCTGCGATCTATGTCGGTCACTTTGGCTCTCCTGCGGATACTAATAATATAAATGCGAAAGTAATTACGTCTGTTACCTTTTCACGCCACTGAACCGATTCAGATGAAATTCGGTTTAGATACCTACTTATAAGTATACATAGATAGTTTGGGACCCTGTGAAGACATTATAATCCCGATTTTGGAAAGGGGTCATGCACGCGTGCGATAGACAACTGTTTTCGTCATGCGGGCAAAGTTGTGGACAAAAGCTAGTATCTTTTATGACTGTACTAGCTTTTGCCCGCGGCTTCACTCGCGTGAAATTTAGTCTATCACAGATCGTCATAAATTATAGTCTATATGTTATTCTGGGTTATAAACAATAATATCTACTTTCGCATTTATAATATTAGTAAGATGTGAACCGAACCGGAAGAGGTATCCGACTCGATCGACGCGACATTATCACGTCAACGACTATTTAAATAGATATAATAGAGTACACAAAATTATTTGCACTGTACTTCACCAAAATGTGCATTAACAATGGAAACGCACAATATTACGCACATTATTACGGCTGAATTAAATAAGCTTACATTTATTCATGAAATAATAATTATTTAAATTCGATTTCGGTCACTTACCGTTTGATTGTGTAGACTTCGGCAAATTAATAAGACATTTTCCATTGGCCCGTTCAGAGCTGTGCTTACAAGTTGATTGTGCTCAGGATTTTGGCCAAGATAAAATATGTCGGTAATTTTAAAAGGTGCTGTTAAATTATACTATTATCTAAATGAAGAAATTGCAGGTTAGTACAATACAAATTAAGAAACCAATCTCTATTATTTGATAGGGACAGTTTGGTCTAACTATTCACGTGATTCAATGAAGTCTAAAAGACAGTTCAGTATTTGGATTTGAATAATAAAATTAATCATTTAATGAGCCTTTGTCGTATTTGTGTACCTAGATCCAAGGACACAAAACTGGTACCTAATGCGTACTCCGTGGCCAGGGCTGGCCCTGATGATTTTGTACCTGCTGACTGTATTCAAATGGCTGCCCAAGTACATGAGCAGTCGCCCAGCGTACGACCTGCGGCCAGTTATAGCAGTCTACAACATTGTACAAATCATCGGGTGTTCATATGTCGTCTACCAAGTAAGTTCATAGTTTCTAACGATCTGGGTTGCGGACGAGCGCGGAGCGTTGTAAAAAATATCAGACTTCTCATCTAGCTCATGGACTACAGATTTTTTCACGCTTGTCCGTGTCGACAGCTCATTTATAATTTCGTTTCGACAGCCCCTTATTATTATTGAGAACAGTGTTGCTAACTTATATTGACTACTTTGGGTGCCTCCATTAATATGCTTACTTGACTGGTTACATTTATATGAAATAATGAATATCAGATCTTTTTGGCTATCTTAGACACTTCGATCGATCTGACGCTGACTGCACTATCTAGTACACAAACAATAATCTTTTTATACAAATTAACTTAAATTAAAAACATTCAGTTAGAAACCATGATTATTGAATAGCCTACTTTTTGGAAGGGTAGGGGAAGACCGCCTAAACGGTGGACAGACGACATCCGGCAGCAGGCTGGAGTGAACTGGAAGCGTGTGGCCAGGGACAGAAGTCGGTGGAGGTATGAAGATGAGGCCTATGTTCGAACCCCCTAAAGGCTGCTATAGATAGATAGAGACTTTTTGGAAGAATTAAAGGTGTTAATGGTTTTTGGCAGAGTTTAGCGCTAGGCTGGTTGAATCACTACTCGTTCATCTGCCAGCCGGCCGACGACGGGCCGCACAGTGTCGAGTACGCCTGGAGGGTGTGCTACATGTACTTTGTCATTAAGTTCGCGGATCTATTAGACACGGTAAGTATAATTAATAAGACATTATGTTGAAAAGTCGAATATCGGAAGATTGAAGACAGACTTTATGGTCACGCACAATTAATAAAATTACGAGTACAATAGTAGAAATTATAATTGAGAATTATCATAGGAACGTTCTTCTTTGTAATTGCTTTTATATTTCAGATATTTTTCGTTCTGAGAAAGAAACAGAATCAAGTGACCTTCCTTCATGTGTACCACCACTTTGGAATGGTTGCGGTTTCATGGGGTATTGTCAAATGGGTACCAGGTTAGTAAAAAATTGTTACAACAGACCCAGTTGGACCTGCCCTCCTAGACAAGTTGCACTTTTTGATCGAATCGAAAATCGAATCCGTCAAAAAAAAAGGCCTTTCGACCATGTTTCGACTAGTTTGCGATTATAATGTGAATTTTGTCTAAACCCACTGTTACTTGCTAGCAGCTAAGACAGTGGCGAGCGCTGAAGCGGTAGGTATCGTAATTCCACTCACTACAGTGGCGCCACTATGAGGTCCTATCAATCATTCACCAGTGGCACCAACTGGTGAGCGCAAATACGGTGCCTCTCATAAAAACGCTGTGTATAGTCCCAATCCACTGAACTGTCCCACCCATGAAATTGATAGGTGGCGCCACCGTCAATACCGGTTCGCTGATTGAACATGGTGGAAACCATATAGTTGAACGATATTGGCGCCCCCCTGTCAATGAGTTTGGTGGGACAGTTCAGTGTAGGTCAACTATACGAGTAAGTAGCTAACATAATACTTTTTTTGCAGGCGGCCACATAACTTTTCTGATATCGGCAAACTGTTTCGTTCACATAATAATGTACATATATTATCTACTTACTACATGGGACGAGTCGTACAAGAAATCGCTTTGGTGGAAGAAACACGTAACTCAGATACAGATTGTAAGTTATTTTGCAATCCATTTTTAAATAGGGGAAAGTATGGATCGGCAACAAAATTGGACTAGCCTCATATTACGTACGGTACCTTCTAAAGGCTTATTCCACTATTCCCCGTTGACAATCCCCGTCAACGGGGATTAGTGGAATACGTTAAAAATAAAATGCTAATACAACGGGGATTAATGAGCTTTTCAGTTCCTTATTCCCCATTATAAGTTCCAATTTAACGTTAACGGGGAATAGTGAACAAAAAGTTCACTAATTCCCGTTGACGGGGATTGTCAAAGGGGAATAGTGGAATAAGCCCCTCCTTCTAATTCTAATATGAGAGTGAGTGAGAGTGGTAATTCTTCTAATATGAGAGTGGTCCAATTTAGTTGCCGGTCCAAATGTATTTATACTTTCCCCTACATATTTTATTACGCTCTTTTGCTTTAATAATAAATAATCTAAAATTTCCTCCCTTTCAGATTCAGTTCACGATTATACTAATCCATTTTCTGTTACTGGTGGCGACCAAAGACTGCAGGTTTCCACGAGAGCCCGCCTACATTATGATACCACAGAACCTATTCATGGTCATACTGTTCTGTGACTTCTATTATAAAGCTTACATTAGAAAACCAAAAAGTGTATAATAAATAATGCGCTCGAGTTTGCGTGTCTTATTTACGTATAAATAAAATAAATAACGTAGGAAGACTATAAAAAATGTGTAGGAAAGGACAGCATATTAATAGCGTGTAACACAATCAGGATGAGTTTTTAAAAAAACTCAATGAAAGTCAGTCATTTGTAAAATAATTGTATAATATTATTATAGTATCTACAACGATATTTCGCTTATGAACACTATATTTAAAGTAAAGTTACAGGTAATGCTGTTATGCTGTTAAAATTGAGCCGAATTCTACACGAATTTTAACTATTTATTCCGTTCTGTAATATTAAATTTTAAAATGTAGGTAGGTATGTATAGGTACTCGTAATGTGTGATGGAATTTGAAACGCTCTATATTTTCCACTACATATTTTGATATTGCTCCCGTTACTATGGAAGTAGTTGTTGCAGTTGTTTTGTGCTGTATAATTATGGACTTGCGCAATAACAAGACTGCTTTTTGCCGTTTTTAGTACGCACTGTACCTAGTATTTAGTACAAACATTGTACAAAATTCGCGCCAATTTGAATACAACCACCGTCAAACTTACGTTAACGTCATATATTCAGCGTGAGAGAAATTCGCCTCAGTTCAAAACAATTGTTACTAACCAATAATAATAGCTTTGCCTGAATCGCCTGGTCGGCAATTCTTTGGTTTATTCCTCGAAGTTCATCACTAGAAATAATCACAAAATACATAGCGATAAGCATAAATATGCACCATTACCTATAGGCCTTAACTAACTTTGTTAATTTTGTATAAAAAAAAATCGTTTTGAATAAAAATACATTTTTTTTTATTTCTATCGAAGAATGCACAATATTTATAACAATAATGGCCTGGCCAGATAACTTATAAGTGGATAATTTCAAAGATTGTATTTTTGTAAGTAAATTGATACTTAGTTGTATAGTAACAATAAAGATTTATTACGTGAACTTGGCAATGCTCCTTGCTCGTTTCTTTCTTACTTAATTATAAACTAATTTATTTCAGTTTAAAATTTCAGTCTTAAAAGATATCCTACTTTCTTATAGTAACAAAGAATGTTACTGCACTTTACTGCCATATAAAATAACTACGACGATTGAATCGCTCACCGTGAAATCGATTTATTGCATTTGAAATCTCACGTGTCTCAACGTTATGAACTGCATGTTACATTTTAAGATTTATAACAGGCGTAATATTTTTATGACAAAATCATCTTATAATAATTAGCACCTTTGTGCCGTTTAATTGGGGTCAAGGTATCACATTTTGCGTAAATGACTATAGCAATATTACGACATAAGTATCAACATACTATTCATCTATCCACTAGACATACTAGAGCCGTACAACTTATCATAATTCACATGAATGGACGGAGGGAAAACAGTCAAAGAAGGAGAAAATTGGATAGATCCGTCCCTAATGATGGAGGAGCAAAATGTGTGCAACTCTCCATGTCCAACGTTACATGTCCACAAAAAAGTATGCCTCTCTTTACAAGAGAAGAGGTAAGACACTCACCGATAATGAAGAGTACACGGCTTCACCTCCAACTTTGCTTTCCAAGTATGGACTAATAAATTATTCTAGTAAGATTGGCTCAATCGTGTGAACAAATTCTGTTTCACAAGTTCTATCACGTTGCCTTGGCTGAAGGCGTCTATGACCGCTTTGGTGAGGCACAAACTGGTAGTCGAGCCGTCCACTTCGTCTTCATCTAACGACCGATTACAATTCGCGTACTCTCTCAGATTCCGCTTGACTAGGTTAATCAGATCTTCACTGGATATATTAGGAACTACTTCTAGATTATTCGCCTCGTTTTCCAGCAAGGTTTTTAGGTCGTATTCTTCTAAAACAGGTGCCGTTACGTCATCATCGCAAGTCCTTTGACGTTTCACGCGGCGCGTCTTTCGCCGGTTGTCTAAATACGTGTTCGCGACTGTTTCTAGTTGCAAGAACAATACTGCTAATGGCGTGTCTGCTATGTCATCCTGAAAATAGTTAATTGGAACTGGTAAAATCTGATGTTGATTTTTGGATAATTATGTCCAATGCCATGCACCACTCCTGCCTATTTAGGATTGTGAATGACGAATGTTACCTGTTATTGCAGACTATGACGCAAGTGAATGACATAATCAGTTTCCTGACAATTTGTCTGATCTCATGAAACTGACTCATAGGAATATAATGTCCAAGGTCACATAAATCTGAGAATCTCTACTGTTACACTACATAATATTTGGATCTTTTCTATTTTTTATACTTAAATATAAAAAAAATTACAGCAATGTTAAACATACAAACCTCATTTGGGTTGACGAGCAGTTTAGATGTCTCTTGAGGCAAATCCTTACATATTTGTGCTACCAATATCTTGATTAATGCTTCAGACACCCGTGTAGTGCCGTCTCTATCCTGTAATAATTATGTCAGTTACATTATGCTGTGTTGCGTCAATATTATGAAATTCTAGGATAATTCTGTTTGTATCAAAAAAAGAAATAATAAAAGTCCTAATTACATGTGGAAGCCAAGTGTTAAGTGTGATGTTTAATGGATCTATGTTCTGTACATAATGCCACCATCCTCGTGGCACCAGGAGGGCGTCGCCAGCTCTTAGTTCAACCATGCGCCCACCAGTCAAACCTGTAATTAAACAAAAATACTGATAAATAACAGTTTATTATGAAAGATTTTTCATTTTACATAATATAAATTGAGAAGTTCCATGTCTGATGGATTACAATGCACCTGTTCATTAATCTATCCATCCATAATAAAATCTGTTCAAATGTCAATGACTTGCAGCAAATCTAGCTAGCGTTACACCCTTTCATAGACTTTATTAAATTAATGGTTTCAATATTATGAAAAGATTTCTTATTTTCTTCTTCTTTTCAACTTTCTTAGTCGGGCACTCTTGTCAGAGTGGTCGTGGTTGCGTTGACGAGGCACATGGTGGGGTGATGTCATTTCCGACGGTAGCTCTCCTGGCGATGTGTTTCCATTTCTGACGGTTAGAGGCGTCGCGAGTACACTAGATCAGGGTTTCCCAATTTTTTTTTGCCAAGGAACCTTAATTGATTATACTTTTCCTAGCGGAACCCCCGTACTACTCCGCCCCGCATGCCCTGCCCCTCCCTTGTGCGTAAACAAGTCGGTGCGCGTGAACAACGTCGGTCACGAAATGTGGGATAATATTTTTTACGGAACCCTTGCGGCCTTTCCACGGAACCCCAGGGTTCCGCGGACCACCTTTCGGGAACCGCTGCACTAGACCATGGACTCAGTAGCCTTTGTGATCGTCTATCCAGCGGTTAGCGATCAACCGCGTGCTCTCTTGACTTCCACCTGGCTTTAATATCTTGCGATAAAACCTTCCAAACAACTATATCCTGACCTTGGAAGTGCTCCAGGCGGGCACGGGTCGGAATCAGAGTTAAGATACTGGAAGCAGTCCGCCATGATATACGTTGCGCGTATCCTAGCTACATACAGGTAACGATTCTATCGGGCGATGATGAATCTTCTTAGTCGGGCACTCTTGTCAGAGTGGTCGTGGTTGCGCTGACGAGGCACACGGTGGGGTGATGTCATCTCCTGGCGATGTGTGTCTATTTCTGACGGTTATAGAGTACGCTGAAGTGGCAATAGGCAGGGCACATAGTACGCAGAACTGACGGCCGATGGGGCAGCAAGGTTCTGGAGTGGAGGCCGCGTACCGGAAAACGCAGCGTGGTACAAGCTTCCACCTACAAGGCGGACAGTCTCATAAAGGTAGCAGGAAGGCGCTGGACGCAGGCCGCTGCCAATCGGTCATTGTGGAAATCATTAGGGGAGGCCTATGTTCAGCAGTGGACGTCCAGTGGTCAGAAATGATGATAATTTGACCTTAGAAGTGCTCCTTTGTTGCGATCGACCGCGTGATCTCTTGCCTTCCACCTGGCCCTGAACTATGATGAATATCCTGCGATAAAACGTTCAAAACAACTGTATTCTGACCTTAGAAGTGCCCCAGGCGGGCACGGGTCGCTCGGGCGGCTCCGAGTCGGAATCCGAGTGAAGGTACTGGAAGCCGTCCGCTATTTAAATCGTGGCGCTAGATATACAGCTTACAGTTTTATCGGTCGATGATAAATAATCCTCAAATAAAAACTTCAAAACGAATCCTTTTCTGACCTTAGAACGTACCAGAAAGCGCAGCCTTCTCTGACGACCTCATAAAGGAAAATTTTCCGTGCTTTTAAGCGATTTTGTGAAAAATATTATTGGCAGGTAGTTGCTAATTGCTCATAAGATAGGCCCCCTTAATTTAATTTATTGTCCGTGGTGCATAATCTTTTTCTTAAAGGTTTTAAACTTTTGTTTGTCACCTGTCATCCGCTTTGCAATGGAGGGAAGTCGAACCTTAATTTCGAACTCCTCCTATGTTCTTCTGATTAATTTCGTTGCGGGTCCAATGACAGTTTAACTTTCCATTGCAGGAGTTCTGTTGCGCGATGATGCGGCTCCCGTTGTATTATGAGTGCGATTTCTTGATGCGCACTATCGGCACTATGTGAATGCAGTTTTCACGTGTATGTAGGCACAATGCAGGAGTTCTGTTGCGCGATGATGCGGCTCCTGTCCCACTTTATACACAATGGTGCAGACCAGGCAGTTCGAAGCTCGAAGGACCATGTAGGGCAGCGAAGTTGTTGTAGGTGTTGATGATTGAAAGGCCGTGTTTCACTAATTAAGTTTATTGCCAGGTCTGCACAGTTTAATACACACAATCACAAGTGTAATGGCCGGAGTACGAAACGCTACTGGGCGCGAAGGCGACGGGGCTAGGGTTGCCAGGCGTCCGGCTTTAGCCGGACATGTTTGGCTTTTTAGGGTCTTGTCCGGCCAAATATTGCCTTGTCCGGCCTGTCCGGCTTTTGTTAGGCTTTTTATTTGGTTGCCGCGCCAGGCGAAAGTCGAGCCACAGAATCATATGAAGCGCACGCATCAGGATGTTGGTTAGCAACCGATGATGATAGTACTCACTCATGAGCTGACACTAATTGCACCCCCATAGTACTTATTATCCCGTTTGCTGTGTAAATGATAAGAGTAACCATTGTGCACTAATACAGGGTGTTTCAAAAAAACCCCTAATAACTGAAGGGTATTTAATAGACGTCTATAAAGAGTCCCTTGTTAATTTCTTACAGTCATAGCGACATATTCAAATTTCGGGTAAATTTATGTAAAATAAAAATATCGATTATAAAAATTCCCATCACTAATTTGGGTTCATTGTCCTACCAGGAGTGACCAGGAGTAACTTTCTATGTTCACGCCCCCGGCCACGCCTCATTAAAACATTCTGTGCGCCTAGTATTTACTAGGTATTATTATTATTTAATACCTACGGAGAAAAAAATACACGCACGTCGTTAAGAAAAAAAAAGCATTCAAAATTATGGTTAGGTACATACCTACAAAAGTGGCTCAAAATGACGTCCTCCTTGCTGCACGCATATTCTTGCCCGTCTTGTTATTCGCGGCGCAAAGTCAGTAGGAATCAATTCCTGTGTGCGGCGGTAGTGGTACGGATGTTGACCATCTTCTTTCAGTGTTCGCCAAACTGAAACATGGTTCATTCCAAGTCGCGCCCCGGCGCGCCTTGTACTGGTCGTCGGTTTGTCTTCAAAGAGTTGCAGAACCTCTTCTACACGCATTTCGTTTGTATTTGGGCGTCCACTAGAACCCGATCGATGAAAAGAGCCCGTAGAATGGAGACATGTCACCATATCATGGAAACACTGATACAACGGAAGCCGTCGCTGGTCAGCCGCCGGTCTACCTTCGATAAACTGTTCCCGATAAAGTTCACGGGCTTGAGTTAAATTTCCATCAGCTCGAGCCACACACAACATCATCTCATAATATTCGGAATTAGAAAACATTGCCATTGTAGCAAAACAACAAAAAACACAAAGCTTTCGAAAATAGTTAAACGATAGGAAAACACACCGATCACGCACGAAGCATATGAACGACTAAATCAAAGAAGAGCCGACGGCCGGTGTCGCGATCTTTCGGCGCTTCTGCACACTGCAAAGTGGTGCGAACGGGATCGTGCCACATGCCAAATTTTTGCAACTTCTTATTATGACAATGCAACATTTTAACAATGATTTTAGTACGCTAATTTTTATTTCACAGGTAAAGGAATGTCGCAATGTCGTTTATGTACTTACTTTGTCTACCAAGTTACGTCTCATTTTAAAATAGAAGAAATGTTAATGAATTCTCAGATTTATTTTCATATCAACATTCTAAAGCGTCCCTTAATAATTTTCACTTTTACAAAAGCAGCCTAAGACTGATTTACACGTATTAAGTAGTTAAGTAGGTAACTAAATTTTAACTTAATTTTAAGTCTATGTCCAAATGTCTCATAATTAGTATGAAACTGCTTATCAAAAGGTGTCAAGTGATAAGCCCCATCCACCAACTTACCCGAAAAATGAAGGTAAAATTTAGTTATCTACTTAACTACATAATACGTGAAAATCATCCTTTAAGACTTAATTTTAAGTGATTAAATTGCATTTAAACGACATGCAAATTCAAATTTAGTTACCTACTTATTACGTGTAAATCAGCCTTAATCATTTGTAAAACTTGATGTGAACGCCTCTGTACCTACTAATATCTAAAGATAGAACACTATTCGAATTCCGAACCTTGATGATCTCGTGTGGGAATCGAACCCGCGTTTTCCGCAATCCCGGTGGCTAACCTTTGAGCTACCGAAGCCCCAATGGACCGAACTAATCTTTAACCTCCTATGAGGAAAAATTACTTTTAGATCAATTACTTATTTATTCAAGATACTAATTTATACATTTCCAACATTATAACACCTTAAAGTTAGTACTTCTTGCTTTGAATGCTCCAATCGAACTGCCTGTCCGGCGGCATGCCCGCGATAAGGCAACTTCCCCTTCCATTCGTCAAAGTCAACCGGCTCGAAACGACTTATCGACAGCATGCCCCGGAAGTAGTCAAAATCAATACTTAAATAACAATTTATTTCTAAATTACTAAACTGTATACAATAAAAATTCTAAAATAATTACATTAAATAATAAACATGAAATATGTAATTGAATATAATACAGAATAAATTCTGAAACCATTATAATATCATTCAAACAGAATGTTCAACTAGCTGCCTTTAACCCGCTATAAGGTAGCCAAAATGCTGCAATTTATCTCATTAATAATTCGCTCAGTCAGCAGGAAAAGGAAAAGTAATATTCTATCTTCCTTATGATTGATCTTAACTTCACTTTACGATAACGAAGTAACTGAAATCGTTCTTTAGAGGAACTGAATACTACTTTGCAAGCTATTACCATCTAGTAGGCTTGATGTAGAAGGTAAGTGGTGCGCAACAAAGTTGGAAATAACATTCATCTGAGTCGTCAAAGTTTCGACCGAGTGTCTTACGAGTGGGGTTAACACTTACATGGCCTCCGTCGCCTATTTGGAGGTGGTGAAGCAAACATTTCCATTTCCGAGGATGATGAGGATGAATCTGAAAAAGACGACTCGGATTTCGAGCTTTTCCTTCATCCGGGCCGACAGAAGTCAACCTTTCACCGTCACCACTCTTTACCCTTACACTCTGCATCACTTATATTTCCTATTTGCACATTTTAACTGTGTTTTATTCTTATTTTATACTTAAAACAAGAAGATAAAAAAATTTTTGCTGTGTAGGCGGCAAAAATCACAAACGCTATGAAATGTCAAGTTGACAGATCACCAATTTCCATAGAAAGTGGTGCCAGCTGGTGGATGAAGAAGGTAAACTAGATGATAAAGCAGAGACAATTGGTAAGTTTTCTTATACCATAGACTAAAATAAGGCAAAGATCATAGACAGCTCTCTCAACAGAACGCTGTGTTTTATTAAGGCACATAATGATTAATGCTCAGTGTTTCGCGACTTTCGTTGCGCGACCTAGAAAAAAAAGTTCTATAACAAAAATAAAAACTGAAGACTTGGCTGTATAGCATAATGCCTTTGACTTTTTCTGCAAAAGGAAACTCGAAAAAAAAGAAGCAGCAAAAAAAAAGAAACTTGACACTAATGACATGACATTGACAGACTGACTTTGACACCAACCAAAACATGAAAACACAGATTTGTTAATTTGTTTGTATTGCGAGTGAAAATAAAGGCTTTTTCACAGATGGTTTCTTGATAAAATATTCCATGATTCCCAGGCCCTGGCTAAGCAAATTACGAAGAAGAAAATTTATGTGGATCGAGCATAAAATTTGAACATTACAGGTAGAAATTTACTTGGGCTAATTCGTATGAAGTTGTTTTGTTGTACTTTTTTTTGTCGATCCTTCAGGATCTGTGTTGATAACTACTGCTGGTGCATGTCCCAATAAATTGTGTTTTATGAATTTGTGCTAATCAACCTCTGCCAAGGACAATAATAAAAATGGAAACCTCAGAAGTGATTTCTGAGTTTTTTTCCAAAGAACTACCCATATCCACAAAATTTCTTAATCTGATTGACGAATTAAACGATGCCTTAGAAGAGTTTCAACTTCCTGGACAAGTACAATGTGTGTATAACCCAACTATTTATGCAAGACATACGTTTGAAATGTATGTTAGAAAATATTGCAATACCAAAAAACCTATAATGTATTTTGGTATGAATCCAGGTCCTTGGGGAATGTCTCAGACTGGAGTAAGAGATGTTTTTATACCACTTGCATGGTAAAATTATTCTTGTCATTATTGTAGTTTCATAAAATATTAATATCATCGGCTTGGCTTGGTAGGTAGGTATGTCGGTACCTGAGTTTGTGGCAGATTTAGTTGGCTCTCACTAATGTACAGTCATTATTATTTCAGTAGTGTAAATCAGTGTCAAAAGTATCAGTGTTGCAATATGAAGGCCACATTAATATTTAAATAAATTAATAACTAAAAAAAGGACAGGAAAATGAAATCTCATTTAATATTTTACTACACTGCCACTTTTGCTAAATTGATACTACACTCGCGAGCAAAACTATGGAATCACTTACATGAAGTTGTTTCCACGCGATCTTGTGTACTAACGAATTTGTTAGTAACAAAAAAAGTCACACCATTTTAAAGATTAAACTTTTACCTTTAAATTGATACCAAATTCATTTAAATCACACCGGTATTTAAAAAGATATCCCGGCTGATGTGAAGAAGTAAGGAAAAAGACATGTATCAACTGTTTGATACGTCGCGAGTTGCGGCCTACTTACCCCCCTATAAAAACACGTGTTTTCGGATTTTTGCTTTCACACGTTGATCCATACACATCTCAGCTTTTTTTGACACTTTACCTGGGATTCTACACCTTCAGAAGCAGCACAAATCCTTGCACTATTGCAAGAAGGGCTCAGCCTGCGGGCTGTCGCATGTCAGCTCCACATAAGCCAGTCCTGGGTTTCGAAAGTTTTAAGACGCTTTCGGGAGACTGGTGGCTTTATCCCGAGACCAAGTTCTGAACAGCGCCGGTGCATATCGCAGAGGGATGACCGTTTTTTCATGTCAACCTCTCTATGAAATCATCATTTGAGTGGTATCGACGTCCAGCAAGAGCTCAGAAATGTTCGTAGGATAGCTGTTAGCGTGTGGACAGATCGTCTAAGATATAAGCAATAGAATTTGACTCCAAAAAGGCCTGCCACAGGCTCGAAACTGACGGCAGGTCACTGACAAGCAGGCTTTCAATTAACTCGCACTTATTTTGATGGGAAGGCGAGTAATGGAGGCGAGTTTTGTTCTCCGATGAATGCAGACTGTGTTTGCAGTGCAGCAGTTGAAGAGGTCGGGTCTATAGGCAGCCTGGGGAGCGATTTGTGCAGTACTGGTTCGCTGAAACAGTGGCTTATGGGGGTGGCTTGCTCGACTTTCCATCGAGATGTGTACGAGCAAATTGAAAGCGTGCTTATCGGTGACCTGCCGTCAGTTTCGAGCCTGTGGCAGGCCTTTTTGGAGTCAAATTCTATTGCTTATATCTTAGACGAACTGTCCACACGCTAACAGCTATCCTACGAACATTTCTGAGCTCTTGCTGGACGTCGATACCAGTCAAATGACGATTTCATAGAGAGGTTGACATGAAAAAACGGTCATCCTTCTGCGATATGCACTGGCGCTGTTCAGAACTTGGTCTCGGGATAAAGCCACTAGTCTCTCGAAAGCGTCTTAAAACTTTCGAAACCCAGGACTGGCTTATGTGGAGCTGACATGCGACAGCCCGCAGGCTGAGCCCTTCTTGCAATAGTGCAAGGATTTGTGCTGCTTCTGAAGGTGTAGAATCCCAGGTAAAGTGTCAAAAAAAGCTGAGATGTGTATGGATCAACGTGTGAAAGCAAAAATCCGAAAACACGTGCTTTTATAGGGGGTAAATGGGCCGCAACTCGCGACGTATCAAACAGTTGAAACATGTCTTTTTCCTTACTTCTTCACATCAGCCGTGATATCTTTTTAAATACTGGTGTGATTTAAATGAATTTGGTATAAATTTAAAGTTAAAAATTTAATCTTTAAAATGGTGCCACTTTTTTTGTTACTAACAAATTCGTTAGTTCACAAGATCGCGTGGAAACAACTTCATGTAAGTGATTCCATACTTTTGCTCGCGAGTGTATTATGCATGTTATAGTTACACATTGTGAACACTTTTAAATATCTATCATTTATAAAGACATATTATTTTCTTTAGCTTTAATAGACATAATGCTTAGAGCTGTAGATAGCTCTCTTTTGGTATTCACTTAAAAATTTAACATACAACTAACAATTGAAACTTCAGCCAAGTATTATGCATTACTCAAATTAACTCATTTTTATAGTTATAGAACCTTTTAGTGCCCTCACTGCGATCCTAGCTAAAAACAAGTGAAGTCAGCCAGTATTCGGTGCAGTCCTGTTGTCCCCCCTGGTTAGCCCCCCTGAGGGGACAACAGGACTGCACCAAATATTCAGAAGTTAAGTCACTATTAGTTTGTCAGAAAAGGTTCAGCCAAACCAATGCGATCACACGCAATCAGCCGGCGTGCAGCGATGGCAATCAATGCATTTAAGAAGCGGAGAAGATCGCATTGGTTTGGCTGAACCTTTATGGTATTGGTTTTTTTCAGTCTGCATGAACTTAACTAGGTATATTGATACTACTGTTTGGGATGCATCATCATCAGGATGCATGTATGCTTTAAATAGAAAATGGCATTGTATTATTTTTTTTCTGATCTATAAAGTTAATACAGTCACAATTTCAGGTGCCATTTGGGGAAATTAGCTCAGTAAGAGACTGGTTACACATAGAAGGCCCGGTTGATAAACCACCAAGTGAAATAACACCACGACCTGTAAATGGATTTTCGTGCACAAGAACAGAGGTATGATTTCATAACATACCTTTCATGAGTTTAAATAAAATTATAAATAGGTACATAATAATTACAAAATAAATTAAACTAGATATTTGCGTAATAAATAGGACCTCACTGGTTACCAGGTCTCACTTATAATACTTTTAAACAATAATTATTTTGAATATAAGCATAATTAATTTTACTTAACACAAAGTAACTTATTGTATTTTCTTATGTTTCAGATAAGTGGTAAAAGATTCTGGGGACTATTCAAGGATATATGTGAAACACCTGAAAACTTCTTCCGCACAAGCTTTGTGTACAACTATTTGCCTCAGCAATGGATGAAAAACAATGGGTGCAATTTAACACCAGGGGATTTTAGGGTATGTTTCAAGACTTTCAAGAAATATTTGAATTCTTGGTATTATTCAAGTTTGTATCTGCTTCATTTTTGTGACTATTTTTTTTTTTATAATACACAATAGTACTTTGTCTATACTTATAATAAATCTGTAGAGAGGTCAATTCTGTACATGAAATATATTTTCAAAATAACTATTAGGGGGTGATTAGTGATCGATACTGATGCCAAAAATGCAATCAGTAAAATTTTTGTCTGTCTGTCTGTCTGTCTGTCTGTATGTTCCTTATAGAAACAAAAACTACTCGACGGATTTTAACGAAACTTGGTACAATTATTCTTCATACTCCTGGGCAGGTTATAGGATACTTAGGAATTCCCACGGGAACGGGAATTAGCGGGAAAATCCTTTTGTATGAAAAATCTAAACCGCGTAAGTTAGACGCTTGAAATTTGGCATGCAGGTACCTTAGTAAACTTAAAGCTTAGTTACAACAGGATATTGCAAAATTCCCACGGGAACTGGAATTAGCGGGAAATTCCTTTTGTATGACTGACTCACTGACATACCCACGCACAGCCTAAACGGCTAAACGTAGGCACTTGAAATTTATAAGGGACGTAGCTTAGGTACCGTAGAGGTGCACTAAGAAAGGAATTCCCGAAATTCCCACAGGAACGGGAATTAGCGGGAAAATCCTTTTGTATGAAAAATCTAAACCGCTTAAGTTAGACGCTTGAAATTTGGCAAGCAGGTACCTTAGTAAACTTAAAGCTTAGTTATAACAGGATATTGCAAAATTCCTACGGGAACGGGAATTAGCGAGAAAAAACATTTGTATGAAAAAATCGAAGCCACGTAAGATAGACGCTTGAAATTTGGCATGCAGGTACCTTAGTAAATTTAAAGCTTAGTTACAACAGGATATTGCAAAATTCTCACGGGAACGGGAGTTAGCGGGAAAAAACATTTGTATGAAAAAATCTAAACCGCGTAAGATAGATGAAGGGGGTAAAACGGGATCCACGCGTACGAAGTCGCGGGCGGCCGCTAGTTATTAAATAAACCAAAAGCCTGAATGAAATGTAGGTATACTTGAGTGGCGAACATATAGACGACGACGACTTTATGTAGTTGTTACCATTTTGCAACCAAAATTATAGTCTGATGCTGTATGGTGGTTGTGGTTATCACACTGCGCCGCGCTCCGACAGATTTAATCATTGTATGCAAATACCTCAGTTTGTATAGAAAACACGCGCGGCACTTCACACTGACAACGCGTCCGCGCGCGTGATTTTTTATATGAAAATCACGCGCTCCGCGGCGGAGCGCGGCGCAGTGTGATGACCGCCTAAATATGATATGACTGTACCTACCTACCGGCTCTCAAGCGACGATTATGGATGAAAGTGTTTGAATGATAAATCTGTTTTATTTTTCAGGTAGCACAAATGCAACCGTTATTTGAAATATGCGACCCAATATTTATTAAAATTCTTCAATTGTATGATGTCGAGACAATAGTGGCAGTTGGAAAATTTTGTGAAACTCGCGCACAGAGGGCGCTACACCGTTATTTACCTGGAAATTGCATACAGGTAACACTGAGTTTATTGTTGCCCTGAAATTTTAGATGAGTCTTGTTTTGACCTTATACTCTTATCTTACTTACTATTATTACTTATATGTATTACAATAGACATGAGTTACAAAATAAAAATAAGTAAGTTTTAAAAAAGTTGAATAATGAAAGTACATGATAATCAAAGATTTTTATTTCATTTACAGATTTTGTATTTGCCTCATCCAAGCCCAAGAACCGTCAACAACAATAATTGGGACAAAAAGGCTATTGATTGCTTGAAAAACCTGAATTTACTAAAACACTACACCAAGACTGAATGAACTAGTTAGAGATGAATCATTAATTTGAAGATTTTATTTTTAATACTCAGAATTTTCAAGATTATTAAAGATATAGTTAGGTAAACTAGTTTGTACTTACCAAGGATGATTGAATTTATGAATCAAGCGTTAGAGCTAGCCAAAGAAGCTTTGGAGGCGAAAGAAGTACCAGTCGGATGTGTGTTCGCCGTGGACGGAGTTATCGTCGCCAAATCACGCAACTGCGTAAACCTCACGCGTAACCCCACCAGGCATGCCGAGATAAACTGCATAGACCAAGTAATTGAATACTGTATGCTTAGTAATATAGACCATAAGGCTTATTTTAAGAAAGTGTCCGTTTATGTGACAGTTGAGCCGTGCATCATGTGTGCTGCCGCTCTCAACAATCTCAATGTTTTAGAAGTTGTTTATGGATGTGCTAACGATAGATTCGGTGGTAAGACAGTCTTGAATGTTAGTCAGTTTTACCAAAACAGCTACAAATTAAATGGGAATTTAATGGCGGATGAAGCAATGTCCCTATTGAAGCAATTCTACAAAGGATCTAATCCGAACGCTCCAGAGTCAAAAGCTAAAAAAAAGAAAGAATGTGAATGATGATGATTATTTGATGATTTAATTAAACCTAGGCGCAGACCACCAACTTTTAGTTTGCCGATAGTTGGGCACGATTCTAATTTGTATGACGAATCGGCCGATACCAAATCGGTGTAATGTGCGCACTTTTGTGGCACTTTCATACATCTCCATCCTGATCAACAGCCCGACCCAATTATCGGCCATCTTAAAATCGGTGGTCTGCGCCTAGGCTAAATTTTCCATTTACCTATTAAGATTTGATACAAATTTTTGAGACCTGCCCAGCAACCGCGCGATTTTAGATCTATTCCACTTTGATCACTTGGGTAATCTAATCTAGGTTATCAAAGGGAATAGACCCGATTTACCCTGTCTGAATAAGGCCTAAGATACATTCTAACTTAATTATTATTATTTACGGGATTGCTACCATGTACTTTAAGTTTCTTTTATGTTCGAAACTTCGAACACATTGTTTCATATTTTTTTATAAATAAAAAAACTATTCCAGGTTAAAAACTTTTCTTATTCTAACCCATGGATATCCACACTACGAATTTATCCCGTTTGAATGGAAATTCTTTAGTTTCCATTCTAGTTAAGATCGGGTTTTAATGTGCGATTGCAACAGTGTTTCAATAAATTACGTAATAATCTCGACATATCCCTATAAGTCCATGCATGACAAACTTTTCGCTATGAAGTAATATGGAGAAACGGGAACAAACGTAATATCGTTATTAATATTAAAATATTAGGTAAATCAGGTAACTAGTAGGTAGTTCGCCTACGTCTAACCCGATCTGGATATTATTTAAATACATAATTATGTAATTAATTACTGCTTACTTTGTGGTCCTAACAATAATACAAAAATTGTCCATACATACAGTTTCTTCAAAAATCTCTATATTTTCTGCTATACTCCTTTTCATAACTATTTTGAGGGTTTTATTTCAAAATCAAATTAAAAATAATAACCACGTTATGAAGAGTTTAAAAAAAATCAATATCAACTTTGTATTATTATTATTCCAATTTCTTCCATAAACTTTGATTTTTTCACGAATTTCAATATCGAATTACTTCATAAATTGGAAAGAAGAACATATAAAAAAATATAATAGAACCAAATAAAACAATTGGTTGAAAACACGCGAGAAATAAAATTGAACCACAGTTTTAGGTCTTTCGGAAAAAATAAATAAAAACTAAAATATCAATAAAAAAAAGTAGCTCACATAGGGTAAAAAAAGCCAATTTGTATTCTCAAAATGAACTTACCTATACACCCACGAAGTTTTTCTAACCTTCCGCCAAACACCCTGTATATTTAGATAGATTAGCGGAAATAATTAGAATGTGGAAAAAAAACATTTTACAAACTTTAATCGAACCATAAAATAAATACCTAACTTTTTTAGATTGGTACTCTAACTGAATGGATGGATAGTTCCCATTCTAATTTCAATTTGCCCAATGGTTGACTAGAAGAGAATGCCATGTCGTCGTAGGTACTTGTCAAAGCTATAGGGCAAAGCCTAGCCCATAAATTCGTCTTTTGTACTTTAAATAAATGTTGTGCAAGATATTTTAAAATAATGCAATATATTAAAATGCGGGATTTTTGGCTTCGTCCCTTTCGTCTGTAGCGGCATCCTTACGATACGACATCGACGGGAAAGGCGGGAGCAGAGGACCACTCGTCTGTCTTTATCGTCGTCGAATGTACCTATTTTTCAAATTATTTACTGCTGTACCGGAAGTCACGCATCATACTTATTACTTTTATTTTTAACAGATTCATCTTGCAACTTTACAAACGTACTTTATTGATGTAATTGAAAGGGGAAAATTTTAAGTAAGGTCACAATATTTTATCTTGTCGCTTCATGCAAGTAATAGGAGGCGACAGAAACATAATCTCATTTTGAAGACTGAACGAAACAACAGCCAACTCAACTGTTTTGTTTTCTACAGCTAGAAGGAATTTAGGGTTTCGCGTGTTTAGGAAGTCCTAGACGTAGTACCTACCTAGACTATGTAATATCCATTTTGTTGGTTTTTAATCCGAAAGAAAAACGACCGAGCGTTATCGATTCAAAAAAAAGTTTAATAAATGAGAGTTGCAAATAAAATGTCTCGTAACTTTACCATATTTATTAGGTCAGCAAAAAATTAATACAATCCCTGTTACAATGTATTATTTTCACATTATTATGTTTAATCAAGCTTAGATAATACCTATTTCATATTGCATACATACCTACTTAGCTTTATAACAGCATAGATAGATAACACATTCATTTGGTTTACAAATATGAATTTTGTATGTAGACATAGAATTAATGAATAAAATAAGAACTATCAGGCCGGTAACCCATTACTAGGTAGGCTATGTAAAAAGAAAGAAGTTGGATGCGCGAAAGTATTTCTGTGACAGGCAAACCACGCGGGAAGAGCCGCGGAAAAAGGCAAAGATAAATAAAATCTAATAAAAATACCCAAGAGGCGTATTTTTGAAGCACTTTCAATTCAAATCCGAATTAGATCTAATCATATCGGAATTCGTATAAGAATTTTGCATGCAAATTAGATTTTTAATGCTTTAAAAAATACTTTTCCGGATATAAATGTACCTATAGATACCATCAAACCATACCTATTGATAATATATTAGAACTCTTTTTCATTCATACATTTCGTCTTATAACTAGAGCTTAATTGCTCACTGTTTCAACATAAAAGTGAGATCTATAACTGGAATAACATTATATTAAACATTTCCCTTTTGTATGCCTCAAAAGCCACTACAGTCAAAATATCCACAAGGATATCACAGACAATTTTCACTAAACCTAATATGAGATCTCACAATTACATTCCCACAGTGATGAAAAATCATTTGTACAATAACAGGGGTTTAAAATATTTTAAGGCAAGTAACTAAATGCATTGTGCTTAACATGTTCCCTTATCAGGTGTAAACTACAATAAAACTGGGAGTAAACAAAATAAGAAATTAAATAATATCCTACCAAAATTAAGGCGATTACATGGCCGAACGACCTTGANAAACGACGGTATATCTATGGACAATCACAAAAAGCTACGTATTTTTTTCGCGGAGCGACGATCGACCTATCTCACCTCCCCAATGGTCGAAGCGTGACTGACGTTAACCGAATAGAACGCTGTGATTGGTTGCTGGTGTTCGGTTTAACGGCAATCTTGTATTATTACTCAAAATTTTAGGTATAGTTCCAAAATACTGAACTGTCCTACCCCTGACATTGACAGTGGGGCGCCACCGTCAATAGCGGATTGCTGGTTCAGATTTTTGCCATGTTGGAAACCATATAGTTGAACGATGGTAGCGCCCCCCTGTCATTGAGTTTTGTGGGACAGTTCAGCGGCGTGGGTCATCTATACCTAAAATCGTGTGACCAACGTATTTCGCTTTCTCAATTCAAAATAATTATAAGAAGATATTTTTTTGACTATTGTGTGGAAAGTATATTTAATTACGATGATTTTAGTATGCTACACACAAATTGAATGAAAATTGTGAATGCAGTAACCAAATGTTTCATTGCAACCGAAGCCCCGAAGGTGTGACACGATGAGAACGCGAAAAATGACCCCGTTTTTTATCGTTTCATGATGTGATTTTTTCGCATTATTTTTGCTTCTATTACGATAAAATTTATTTTGTATGTAGCTAAATACAGTGTGAGTCACGTTAAAGTGTACATATGAAAATAGATGAAACTAGACCTATTTTTATCGACAAAAAAGAGGTCAAAATTTTTTTGATATTTTTTTTTTAATTTTTTATTGAATTTTCTTTCTTCCAATTACTTATTGTAAAGAAAACGTAATAACTTTTAAACTAAGCGGTATATCCTGACAAAATAAAAACAGTAATAATGCTAAATAACAGGCGATACTAAAAAAATACATAAAATACACAAAAAAGGCCAACAATTAATAAAAAATGATACTTTTTGAAAAAAATCTGCTTTTAAATTCGTGTTTTTTTGGTTATTTGATAAATTTCTCCAAAAAATGCCCCTATAACCGGTGGTTTTTATTACTTTGTATTATTCTCTATCGTATTACCTTCGTAAAACCAAAAATCGCATGTCTCTATCCCTATCACAACGTTTGCAATGATCGTTTGAACTAAGCCTCTTCGGGCGCGCCATTCAAAGCTTCGTTAACAACGAAACTGAAAATGGCTCTAGATTTGTAATTTCGATAAAGACAAGTTAGATTTCAAATAAAAACAAAAGATTTCGAAGTAAAATAAGCATTTTAGTTAAAATTAAAATTGTCTCTACCTGTAGCGGAGAATAATGTTGTGGCAGGCCTTTGTTCAAACGATCATAGCAAATGTTGTGATAGGGAGTTGTTCATGGATGGTTCATGTTTACCTAAATACGAAATTTTGACCATTCCATGAAGACCGAAAAGTGACCGGTCGTATAAAACCGTTTCATGGATTTGCGTTTTATTATCAAAAAAACATTTGCTAAAACTCATTGTCTTTAACAAATAATAAATCAAATTCATGTTTAAATGCAGTTTATGACATAATTTTTAAATTGTCACTATTAATATTTTTACTGAATAACCTGTAAAAGTTAATTCTACAATTTCTGAAAAATCACCTTAAAGTAACCTTTTCATTAGTGTAACCTAAAAGTAACCAATGCAGTTCAAAAGTAACCTAAAAGGTTACAAAAGTAACCTTCTGGCAACACTGATTATTTGCTCCATGCGTATGACAGTTTAACGCAAGTTTGGAACAAACAAAAAACAAACTTGATACTTCATCTTTGAAACATAGCGCAAAATGCAAACTTGCTTCAAAATTAAAAAAGCCTTGAAACATCATACCTAAATCAAAAAGCTTACAGCAATATTGCCACAAACTTGATTTGTCATATTTGACGTGACAATCTAATTTCAAATAAAAATCATGTTTGCAGCAAGTTCGCTTGCTATCTGGGCATATACTCACGTCCGAAATACCGCAGTGTCTCAAGTCGAAAGTATTTGACCAATGCGTGTTGCCAGTGATGCTATACGGATCTGAGACGTGGTCGCTTACTATGGGCCTCATAAGAAGGCTCAAGGTCACCCAAAGGGCGATGGAGCGGGCTATGCTCGGAGTTTCCCTGCGTGATCGAATCAGAAATGAGGAGATCCGCAGGAGAACCAAAGTAACCGACATAGCTCGCAGAATTGCTAAAATCAAGTGGCAGTGGGCGGGGCACATAGCTCGTAGAGACGATGGCCGTTGGGGCAGGAAAGTTCTCGAGTGGCGACCGCGGGCTGGAAGACGTAGCGTGGGCAGGCCTCCTACTAGGTGGACCGACGATCTGTAAAAGTCGCGGGAAGAGCCTGGATGCGGGCAGCGCAGGACCGTTCATTGTGGAAAACCTTGGGGGAGGCCTTTGTCCAGCAGTGGACGTCATTTGGCTGAAAAGAAGAAGAAGAAGAAGAAGATTAGTAGAAAATTACAATTTGCGTCTGAATCAAACCCATTTAACCTAAATTTTCCCATCCTCTTATGTCTTTTACTAAATAGGTATTCGATTTTTCACAGTGTACCTATGTTAAAAAAACATTACAGGGTGTCCCAGAATGGGTGAATCAAACTACTAGGGGAGGTAGCTCTATTAATGCACAATGCCTAAAAAATTTGATTTTGATTTTATAATTTTGTTATTTAATGGCCAAAGCCAATAGCCAAAACGTGAAAATCACGTTTTGGCTATTGGGAGCAAAATAGGATGATGATGGTACACGAATGGGGAGAAAAATTGATAGAGGAGAGCGGCATCCCTAAATGTCAAAATCATCTGCTGTCAAAATTGACAGTTGCAATGGCGAATTGGCGACACAGTTTTCTTCTTCATGTTCTTTCCACAGTTGTGTTTATGTATGTATTTTGGTATAATTGAAGACTTGTGTTAAAGACTAGCAAGCTTGAGATTCCTTCCACACAATTATGATTTACAGAAGAACGTATAAATTGTAAAATATAGTACACCTCTATAAACAAATCTTCAAGCTGTTTTTGAAGAATGGCTGATGATATTTTATTCGACTTATTGCATTCTGAAATAATAAACTATGCTCTGGAGCAATCGAAGGATAGCAACGATAAGAAGGTAATTATCGCAATGGGTATGGATGGGTTTTCATCTCTATGGATGATCAACATTCAATAAAATGTACAAAAATATTAACTTCCAGGAGGTGGATTTATCAGTTGTGGAATACATCGGTTTTGCTGCTGGTTATAAAATAATGGAGAGGCTGACTAGAGAATGGCCTAGATTTAAAGACGAACTTGATACCATGAAATTCATTTGTACTGATTTTTGGACATGCATTTATAAAAAGCAAATAGACAATCTGCGTACAAACCACCAGGGTGTTTATGTTTTGCAAGATAATGCATTTCGGTTTCTAACTAACTTCTCAAATGGTCATCAATACTTGGAATATGCTCCCAGGGTTAGTATTTTACTTGCTTTTTTAAAATATTGTTCTTAGTGGAAATGAGTAGAGTACCTATACATCAACAAAATTGTTTTCATAAGTATAAAAAAAATGTTAGGGGCTCCTATCTAACCCTAAGTTCAGTTAAATTAACTTTATTGTTTTATACAGTTGTGCAAGTGTTATTATTTAAGCCAATTTTACAAACTGTTTACTACATATTTTTTATTTGTTGCAGTATGTGGCCTACACATGTGGGCTCATAAGAGGAGGTTTGGCCAATCTTTGCATCAACAGTGTGGTCACAGCAGAGGTCCAGTCTATGCCATCATGTAAATTTCATATTCATGTTCAAAGATCATAGTAAAAAAAATATTATTAGATAAATCTTTAAATACAAATAAATTATGTTTTAAAGATTTATTTATTTTGTTAAACTATAAGGTATCTTTTTAATTATTGCAAAATTTATTTACTTGTGTATAGCAAATTACAGAAAATAAACAACTTATCTATCACAAGACAAGAATCTTATTTTCTCTATCACTATTCAATTTCAAACCCTTAACTAAAACAAGACAAACTCTTGTCTCAACTCAAGTACTGTGTAGCGGAAATCGCTTTATCTATTTTAATATCTAAGGATTAACCCCCTTACTAATAAAACTTACACGCTTGTTGAACAGTGTTTTAAAGCATTTTAAAGTGTCGTTTATTTAGTATGAAAATGTCATTTTAAAACAGTGTTCAACAACAACAACTGTAACTTTTTATTAGTAAGGGGGTAAGACACAACACACCCTATTGAGATAAATATTGATTTATCCATTTTGTTTCTATTTAATCTGTGATTCATTTTTTCCGTTCATTCACTCACTCATTCATTCTTTTCACGTTTGAAGAATGCCCTATTTTGTCCAGTCTTTTCAATTTTACAGAAAATGGCTTCCGAGGAGTTGGTGACTGAGCAATTTCAATTTCTTGGTATAGAAGTTCCAAGAGAAGTCATAGTAAAATGTAAGTTTTCAATCGGTCAATTGTAGATATCAATCATCACTTTATGCGCTACATAACTAATTTGTTTTTAAATTTTCTATCACCGAAAACTGAGTCTTCAAGGTTGTTTCACTAATCACTTTTTCTTTAGGTGTTAGTTTGTGTGAGGAATACGATGTCGACGCGGAAACCTTTATTGAACAATGGATGGCGTTCAGTTTGAATCAATTGAACGGTGCACCGCCTACTTTGGAAAGTTTAGAAACGCTTGCAAGAAAGGAATTTTCCAAACGAGCCGCCAACCGAACCAACGCGCCTGTCAAAGAAGCTACACATAGTGCCGGCACAGGATTGACAGTTTACGGAGCACCTGTTGCTCCTCAGTATCCTTTCAATTTGTGATTTCCCACGTGTGATTTAATTGGACTTAAAAACTTTTGTAGATCAAGTTCTTGGTAAAATTATGTGGGTAGCTGGTATGTTGTAATTACTAAAGATAAATTAGTAGCTTCGAACTCACTAATACCAAACAGTTTTAATCATGACAAGGAAATAACTCCCTCATAAATGGAGGTTTATGTACTATTATCAGTATCAAGTAATTAACCTTAATATTTAGGCCAGATAATGCAGTCCTGTCGAATTACATGTCTACGACTCCGAAGGTAAGCCTCAAACTTTTACTACCATATTTAATATTTTATCACCTATAGAGTTGACTTACTAGTCCTTGTTTGGTTAAATGCATGTATTCCCTGAGCTAATAGTAGTTTAGTGTATTAAGTTATCTTGTTTTTAAATTATTAATGTTATGTGTTGATTCAGACGTCATGAAGATCGTTTTTTAAATGTTATTTAAGTATACCTCCACAAATGAATTATATTTGATTAAAAATCTGTTTTTACCATTATTAAATACTTATTCATTGGCAAAATTAATTAGGGTATAAAATGCAAATGGCCATTTGAACCATAGCAATACTGTTCTCGTCTGGATCCAATTATGTATAGCATGTGGCCAAGTTCCACTTGAGATTGTCATATTTTCCAAGTCAAATCATATTCAAAATGTTTTATGTATTTCATTAGATAGAATGAACTAATTATTACTAAATGTATTAATTGGATATTCAGGCAGTTATTTATGTTTGTAAACTTAATTTAGATATACCTATTTAACTAATTTATTTAACTTGCCTGATTATCTTTGCACACCTAGTTTTTCTTTGAGCTGTGTATTTTTTTTACTAGAAATACTTTTATTTTGCTGCTTTTTTGAAGAATGATTGATGTATTTGATTTTAAGCCTATTTTTTGTTTTATTTTTTGTATGTGATGGCATTTTAATTTTAGCTTTGTGGATGTAAAGAAGATTGAAGCTTGAAGTGTGCATCTGACAATGAATGGGTGTATGTCTAGAGGCACAGTACTCAATCTTGTGACTAGATCTACACTCATTGATTGCTGGTAGACCAATCGTCGGAGGAAGACTTGTTGAATACAGGAAATAACAATCCAAGACTCCCTATGTGACTGATTTTCATATATTTTTTCTTTTATAGTGACAACATGGAATCCGTCTGAGACTTGATGATATTTGTGGGCGAGTTTGCTTCTGGTGCATGTTTCTTTCACATCATGACTAGATCCATACTCGTCTGCAGCCATCAACTCAATCAACACTTACAGTCCATGGAACAGAAAAGTGGTAAAATGCATTGGACCAATGAAAAAATCCAGGATGACATATTAATACATGGTCATTGGACAGTGAATAATCCTCACATACATTCCTTGTGATTGGAGAACTGACTAAATTGAGTCACTAAGTGACACATTTTTTTTTTATAAAAGTATACTTTGTAACAATTTACTTCAATGTTGTAGGTATCTCAAAAAAGGGATAGATTATGTTATGTACTCCTTTTTATAAAAATATGTTTGACTTTGTTACTGCTGCTGCCATATCCCTTGATTAATACATATTTTATTATTATTATTTATTATGTAGAATCAGGGTTCGAGGATATATATCAAAGGATATATATCAAGATATATATCGGATATATATCCGATATACACCGTGTTACTTTGCATTCTTGCCATATTCACAGAGATAAAAGTAGGGACCAATACCTGTTATTTAAGATAAACAAGAGACTCCCATAAAGAAAGTACACTGAGTTTTTAGTAAATTTGGTTTTGCAGTACAAATTGGAATAAACCAATTTTGTCTCGCACTTTCTACAGGTGCAAGTGGAATAAACCTAGTGGGCGTGGCCTAGTTCTTATTAATCTGTGATGTTTTATGGCTCTGGGTACCAGCCTTTTTATCCAGTCATAATAATTATTTTAAAATACTCTTCAGTTGATTTTAGATTTTCCTTTCTACTCTCAGTTTCTACTTTACGGGCTTAGGACCGTCAAAAATACGTAATAATTATTAGGCTTTTAATTAATTTACAACATTGTTCCCTATTTTTACAAATTAATAATGAAATCACCTTATTCACAATTAATTATTTATTTATGAGTTCCTACTTACAAAGTTTACGTACTGCGAAGCAAGTGTTCAAAGTGTCCTCCGTTCTGATGAAGGCACAGTCTAGCACGGCGAAGCGTAGGTAGCTTTCGCTTTAGTTTTCGCAACACATAAACGTTTTGTCTCACAGTTTCGCTGAAGCAATCCTTTCACGTAACACGTTCACACTTTTTATCTCTTCTGCGCATACCAGGTCGTTTCAAGTCACTCCAAAAATAATAGTCCATTGGTGTTAGGTCCGAGGATCGTGGTGACCAAGCCACTGGACCCCCTCGTCCAATCCACTGTTCACCAAACGTATTATTCGCGCACTTGACGTCCTTATTGTGGGGGAGCACCATCCTGCTGGTAGTAGAGCATTTGGTGTAACGCTAAGGGTACGTCATCAAGCATTTCATTTAAGACGTCTTGCAGACACTCCAAGCACCATTTTGATTAAATTATTCGTTGTTTGAATACACTTCAGTCATTTTTGTATTATTTATAACGTGATTTGTGATTGATGGATTTCTCAGTTTTTTACAAAAGTGTCAAAAAGACATTTTAAAGACAATAGATTGCAATAGATATTTAAAAATACAATAAAAAGTAAAAAAGTCTCCATCGCCATCGCTAACATAAGTGATGTGCATGCGTTACGATAGTTAGTGATGTGTTTAACAGATTGTCGATAAAATAAAATATTCAAAATTAAAAATCAAAATTTTCGGGCATTATTTTTTAACGGATTTGTGTTCAGTATCAGTAATATAGTTACCTCTGTAAATATGGCAAGAATGCAAAGTAACACCCTGTATATCAAGCCGGTTTTGATGATATATATCAACTTTTAAAATTTCTTACTGTATTTGTACTTTTTGACATAAGATTTTTATTTTTTTAGGTGATTTTGCCGTATTTCAAAGATATTTTATGTTTTTGCTTTATTTGTCTGATTTTAAGTTTTAAAAACATTAAAAACATGTTTATGTAACACATATGCAATAGTATTCATGAATAATACAATAAAATAATACTATGGCTTTCATACAAAATTGATATATATCAAAGTTGATATATATCGGATATATATCATATATATCCGATATTTTGATATTTATAATAAATATCGGATATTTTCGAACTCTGTGTAGAATTTCTTGTAACCCTATAATTGTAGATCACAAGATCTAAGCAAAGATTACAGGAATATTATGATATAAACAATTATATCATAATTTTTCTGTGTATCTTTGCTTTCTTAAACTACCCTTTTTTCGTTCTCACTTAGTTTATTAATGTCGTCAGTATAAAATAAATGTAATGTTATCAGGTACTTCATGTTCAATACATATAATCTCTAAAAATGGTTGGGTACCTACTAGGGTTTTTGCTTATGATTGTCTCAAGAAGGGTGAATTCAGTAACACTGATACTATTATATGATACTAGTTTAGAACTATATTCTAAGCGCGTGGGTTCGTATCCCATTTTCGACAGTCTTTTTTCATCACTCTATCTGTGCCCTAAGCACGAATGACTCCTAATCATAATAATAATTATAGTAATCGTATTCCACGTCATGTCTGTAGCTGCGCTGTCTTGGTTTTCATACAATACATATGATTACAATACCATAACGATATTTATTCGTGCTTCTGGTGCTGTTTACCTTCGATTCCTCGACAGTTCCACACCCTGTATAAGTTGTCTTCGCATCAAATAATTAGGTTGATTTGGAAATGCGTGTAATTTCAGAGAGTGAAAAAAGAACCCGATGCAACTCCTTTGCATCAAGTTGAACTTGGCCCTGCCACATACTCTCCAAATGTGTAAGTATTCCCACAGACAAAATAAATGGTCATTTGATTACGTAATCTTTAATACCGAATACTTGACTTTATCCTCATTGTAGTTGTAGATGAATAAGTTTGTCTCAAAATAGGATTTTCATTCGTCAGGTTTGTCGCGACTGATCTGTAATTTTTGATTCACAAATAACTTGAAAGAAAGCGCATACTTTAAGTAGCCAAGTGATTATTTAGGATTAAAGTGAATTGTAAATGGTACATAGAGAGGAGAGTCTTGTTGCGTATGAGATAGTTATGTAAGTATCTCTTTTTGACTGTCTTATTATTATTTTATTTCAGTGACCGCTCTGCTAAGTATGCCTCACGAACAAACCCCGGTTCAGTTGTGCATTCGTATGGCGATGAAAATTTGCTGCAAGTCATTAGCCAACAAAATAACCAAGCTGATATCTTGAACCTAAATATTACTCAAATACCCAATGATGAAGGAGAATTATATACAAAGTCTATGTAAGTTAATATAAAGAATATTGGCTTCAACATTTCTTAAAAAACTTACATTTTGTTAAATGGCTCATCACATATTTTTAACTAATTTGGGTGATCAATGATCATGTTTTTGTTGAACAGGTTCGGTTTTGAGTTGCTACACGAAAAAGCCAGTACATTCGACAATCACATAAGCTACACATCCAAATGTATAATGAAAAAGGCTGGCTTATCAGGCCCTTCGTCTGTTAGGCATAAGACACAGGTAAGCACGTAGTTAGTTGCTCAAATATAAATGCCACATACGTTTCAGCCAAATGACGTCCACTGCTGGACAAAGGCCTCCCCCAAGGTTTTCCACAATGAACGGTCCTGCGCTGCCCGCATCCAGGCTCTTCCCGCGACCTTTACCAGATCGTCGGTCCACCTAGTAGGAGGCCTGCCCACGCTACGTCTTCCAGCCCGTGGTCGCCACTCGAGAACTTTCCTGCCCCAACGGCCATCGTCTCTACGAGCTATGTGCCCCGCCCACTGCCACTTGATTTTAGCAATTCTGCGAGCTATGTCGGTTACTTTGGTTCTCCTGGGAGCTATGTATGGCTCTGGAAATATCCTCATACATAGTCTCCACTTCGTCGTCGGGGTGTTCCGTGGTCGGTGCGTATACCTGTATGACCTTCAGCGAATACCGTTTGGTGATTCTGAGTATCAGGTACACTACCCTCGCCGAAACACTCTCGATCTGGACCACGTTGTTGACAAGGGACTTGTGGACGATAAACCCGACACCACCCTGGGACTGCTGGTCGCCCTCCCGGAAATAGAACAGGTTTCCGGATTTGAGAATTATGGTGTCCTCCCCCTCTCTTCGGACTTCGCATAATCCTACAATATCCCACCGTAACCTGCTCAGTTCTTCCAAGTTCCATCAGCTTCACGTCTGTACGCAGTGTGCGAGCGTTATAGGTTGCCAGGGCCAGAGGTCGTCGGTGTTGGTAGCCTGGCATCCCCCGGGGATTCTTCGCACCCCTTGCCCCACCGTTACCGTGACCGCTACCGTGGTCCGGGATAGTGGGGCCGCCGGGGACTAGGGGCCGTTTTTTTGTTGGTGCCACCATATGGAGGGTTTTGCCCTAATCGCCACGCTTGGCAGGCGGGTTGGCGATCGCAGTTTTTTGATTGGTTTCGCACGCAGACGCTGCTGCCCGTCCGGTGCTACAGGAGTTTGTCGCCTCTTACGACACGCCTCCTGTTGGCGGTGGGGAAAAGTATTCTTTTACGGCCGTCCCCACACGGCACCCCAAATGCCACATAACTTATCCGAAAGTGATTTAGAAAAACCTATTTCCACCAGACGCCTTAATCAGCCTAGACAAAATAACATTCGTAACAAATTCAATTTTGCGATCGCTTCACAAACAAAGCGAAGTAAGTAGCTACGACTGTGTATTAAAAAGACGGGAGCTTTCGAAAAACGTGACAATAGATTTCGAAATACATTTTTTAAGAATTTCTAACAATGTCTAGGACGCGAGGGTAGGTCAAGATTATATCCTTCGGTCGAAACTCATTTCGCATTTTTTTAATTTTACAGACAGAAGTAGTGGTGGCAGGCCGAATAGAATGCGACGCAGATGCGCGACTCAATCCCAAATGCGTGGTGCTCCAAGGCACGTGGGAAGATTCTTTGAGCCAGGCAGTACCTGTCGACATAGACAAGTAAGGCAGCGGTAATTTTGCAGTTAATTTTATCGGTTTTTATAAACATAAAAGGCCTTCAGCTAAAAACGTTACTTTTAAAGTTCCAAATTGAAGTATGTATGAAGTAAGAAGTTATTATTTCTTTTATTTTATTTTGCAATTTTGTTTGATTTCTAGTTTGAAACAGTATTCACTTTTCCCGGGTCAAGTTGTAGTGATGAAAGGCATCAACCCGCGGGGAGACAAATTTATTGCACACGAAGTATTTTGCGACGCGTCTCAACCGATACCAGACCACAAAGCTGATATTATGAATTGTTTACAAGGTATTTGAGGTCTTATGTTGTTGTAGGTATGTCTTATGTTAAAATGTACAGTCTAAACAGCCTATGCAAAATAGCCTATATTACAAAGATATAAGATGCCACTGTGTTTTCCTTGATATTTTGTCGTCCGTACCTTGTTCTACTATACAGACAAGGTAAATAGCTCATCAAGACCAGTTGACAGATTTTAATGTCTTTTTCTTTGTTTAGGTACGATGTCAATGTTAGTAGTGGCCGGTCCATACACGACATCGGACAATATGAACTACGAGCCTCTGAAAGACTTGGTCACGTACATCAGCGCACACAGGCCGCACGTGGTCATAATGACCGGCCCGTTCATGGACAGCGACCACTCCAAGGTCAAAGACAACTCCATGGCTGAAACGTATAAATCCTTCTTTGATAAATTGGTCGACAGCTTAGGCGAACTTAGTTCTAGCAGGTAAGATATAATTGTTCAGAATGTTTAGTATTTTTCTCGTTTTGATTTCTATCTGCTATGTTCACTGCTGTTATAGATCGTTTCATCCACAAAGACTCGCCCCACCAAGTTTTGGTCGAGGGAAGGCCGGGGTGCGGTAAGTTTGATCCGAGCGTCATTGTTGTAGTGTGCGTGTGCACTCATGGATTACCGATAACACTCAAACATTAGCGGAAGAATGGTGGGGCGCGTCTTTGTGGATGAATCGATCTATACAATAAATTGATCACCCACTACATTAATAAAGAGTCTCTTATAGCGCGATCTGTTTACTTCATTTGGGCCTAAGATTTTTTTGTCCAGATGTAAGCTCAAGTCCTTCATAGGTCCATCTGAAGATATGTAGTGACGTTCCATCCGCCTAGTTTCTTCAGTTAATTAAGAGTCAATAGTGTAAGGACACTGAACAAGTGAACTTACATGGCGATTTTTATTTGCAGTCCCTATACCCGCATTTACATCGTGTCAAGCCTGAAGGACGCGTTTCATGTGAACATCTACCCCACGCCGCCGTACTCCAGCCGGCGGAAGCACGCCAACATCCATTTCTTGCCGGACCCATGCACGCTCAGCGTCAGCGGAATTGTTGTCGGCGTCACCAGCACCGATGTACTCATGCACGTTAGCCAGGAGGAGATATCGGCGTAAGTTTTTATGCAACGTATGAAATCGTAGAGGTCGATGATTAAAAACCCAATGGAACATTGATTTGAGACACGCCTTATTTTCGTTGACCTTATTATTCGCTAAAATAAAAAATAAAAACTTCCACCAACACACAGAAAAGCAGAAATTTCTGCAGTCACAGTCACTTATATGATACGAAAGCATTGTTGATACACACAAACACAAAACAGCACCTAATACAACTATAGTCTGGTCCGGGAGCACGTAGAATTTTGTCCAATGACCCCAAGCTACCCATCCTTATAGCTCGCGCGTAATTATGTTGCTGTCACGCTCGCACACTCACTGCGGGCGCCCGTCCCACAGTCGCGACAGCAATATAATTACGCGCGAGTGATAAGGATGGGTAGCTTGGGGTCATTGGACAAAATTCTACGTGCTTACGGACCAGGCTATACATTAGATGCCAAAGTGTTTTGCTTGATGTGCTATTGACTTTATTTTTAGCGGCGTGAGCGGCGATCGGCTGTCGCGTCTAGCGGGCCACGTGGCCATGCAGCAGACGTACTACCCTCTAGCGGGCGGCGCGCTCCCGCGGGACGCCGCGCTGTGGGCGGCGCACGCGCAACTACCCTCCACGCCGCATATACTGGTGCTGCCATCTACCTTCCGATACTTCGTCAAGGTGAGTCGATTTCAGATGCTAGATTGCCTATAGTGGTGACCTCTGTCGACGTTATCGCGTGGGCAGCGCACGCGCAGTTATCCATGCCACATCTTGTGGTGCCACTTCGTCTAGGTGAGACGAAAACTTGTGTTAAGAGAGCGAACCTAGCTCGCATCAATACTTATGACTAAAATTTGTATATTTTAAAGACTGTAAACCCTTGAAAAGGAGGCTGACAATAGTGACTTGAGTTTCTTGCGCTGCTTCTTCTCAGCACTGGCCTATTTATTGTCCCGAAGCAGTGGTAGGGTTAATAATGGGACATGTAAAAGTGCTTTTTAAAAGCCTATTTGCAAAAATAAATGAGTTTTATGAGTTTTTATGAAAGCGTTGACTTCTGTCGAGGTACTCGAGGTTGTGTGTGATTACGTGAACATTCATTATTCTTACTGCCCGCTACGCTGCACCTACTAGTGCTGTGTCTCTACCTTCCGCTACTTCGTCAATTAAGCGGATTTCGGGTAATAGATTGCATAGAGAGACAATCACCGTCGTGGCTAAACGCAATCTGTTACCTGCGCATTGGGTCGCTCGCTCACTAGGCCCGTAATGCGGCCAGAACGCGCGGACTGAAGCGTTTGATAACTACGCGCGCTGTCTCGCTTAGTCCCGTCGCACTAGGCTTCCGCCTTAGTCACAAGACTAGGCGCAGACCATCGATTTTTAGTTGGCCGATAGTAGTGCCCGATTTTAAATTGTATGAAGAATCGGCCAAACCAAATCGGCGTAATGTGCGCACTTCCATACATGCCCATACTGATCAACTGCTCGACTAAACTATCGGCCGACGAAAAATCGATGGTCTGCGCCTAGGCTAATATGGACGCAATGGCGCGTTTCATATGTTTGATAGTTCGCGCCTATCCTCGTCGCAACCGCGCTAGGCCCACAGTGTGGACGCTAACACCCGTTTCCTGTTTATTTAATTTGGCCTTATTTCAGAATAAATTATCAAGCTGTAACATTGTTAATTAAATATTATTTTGCCAGGACGTGAATGGTTGCGTGGTGGTGAACCCCGAACACCTGACGAAGGGATCCGGCGGCGGCACCTTCGCGCGACTGCTCATCTCAGCCGCCGGAGACACAAGGAACATCGCCGCGCAGATCTTACGCATTTAACGGTACAATAAACTCATGTTTACACAACAAAACGCTTTTATTTACTAGAAATTATGAGCTAAAATGTAACAACCCTTGACAGTGCTTAAAACTAATTCTTATGATCAGATAAGATATTCAATTCGAGTGTAAAAAGTTTACTTTGACTAACTTTTATATTTAATTCGGTCACGTGACTAATAATGCTTTAGGCTGGTTTTAGTGTCACGCGGACTGTCAGTGCGGATCGCTCCGCACAGCCGATCTGTATGTACTGCTAGGGAGCGGATTGGCCGTGCGGAGCGGGTCCGCACCGGACGGTCCGCGTGACACTAAAACCAGCCTTAATAAAAGAATGTAAGTAGCGATGCGCACACTGTGCCTATGTATACAGAACAATAGAGAAATATTTTGATACATAAAAAGAAGTATTAACTATTCCTATTATTAGGATTGATTATAAAGTAATTACATATTTGAATTTTCGATAGAGTTAATTGAAAATTAAACTGGTTTCAGGGGCGAAATTAAGTCCTATACAAAAGTTAAATCTTTGGATTGATTTTGCACAGCGAACTATCCAATTTTATTTTTACATTTACCCTTATGCTACATAAATGGGGTCATTTAGTGTGATGGTTCCACCGGAGGCTGACCGGAGCGACATCTGCAAGCCCATACGCGGAGAAGTGCCCATCACCTTTCGCATCTTCTCTCCTTCCATTAAACGATAGCTGGAAATAACATTTTGTCAAATGTTTATTTTCAAACGTAAAGAAACGTAGAATACTGCATGAGCTCATGTAACTCAAAATTCGAGCTAGAAAAGTCCGAATAACAAAATATGAGATTTTATCTTACGGAACACTTCTACTTCAGAAACAACCTTATATTAGTAAATTGCATATTAATTGGTAGGAGAATCTTATACCACGTCACACCCAAACTCGTTGGGAACAAGCGCAAATAATTACCTTCTCAAAGTTTTCAACGGCTCACTATCGGGGTGACGCGCTCCAGTTTCAGGGTCCATGGTAGTAATGGCGCATCTGTGACCGTGAAAACATAATTTAGAAATTAGAACATTTATACAAGTACAGTAGTATTTATAAAATAAATGATTAATGACTTTTCAACATCCTATGACCATTTCACTTCAAACTTCTTTTACCTTGTGCATGGCATAACTATTTCGAATACGTTTTCGCCAATCTTGACGAACTTCCAGTTGTCCTCGTCGTAGGGCTTCGCCCCGGAGAGCACGAAGTTTGGCCTGAACTGACGCGGGGTGATTTCCAATTCTCCCACACGGGAATTCAAGTCTTGTACTGATGCTTCGTTTATCAAGTTGAAAGACGTGTCATCGCCTAATGCTCCCTGAAATTTAAATTAAAGATAACATAAAGGTTAGGGGGGTCTGATGCAGAATAAATGCACTTTCACATACTAATTGAAAACTGTAGTGTTTGTTTGTATGATATTTAATTTTAGTAGGTATAGAAAAGTACGCATTTTGCGAAGTTTTCGGCAAACCCATGGGGGAGATCCTCGTATAATAAATATAGATTATTATTGTGTTGATTTATGGAATATCAGCTTATTTAGTTCCTAAATTAAACTTGTTATATTATTTACCGTATCATTTTTGGTGAATTTGAAAACTTTTACTCTAGGATCCTTCGGAGGGTCCCGACAGTTTTGTGAGGCGTAGTAAGCCAGCCGATAAGTGCTTGAAGGACGATTGATCAATCTGTAATTCAAGCAAAGGTCAACGATAAGTATGTATGCTTACAAACAACACTATGTTAGTTATTTTTAATCTTGCTTTTAAGGCCGGGTAGCAGAGAAAATGGCGAAAATGAGGTTTTCATTTTTCATTTTTGAGGTACTAAACAGTAAAATTAAAGGCTAAGATTTTTTTTGGGCATAGTTGAGGATATTTTCTAGGGCTATTAACGGATGGAAACACGATTTGATGAAGTTGACTCGATAGAATAAATTCCCAAAGTTACCTCTATTCGTTTTCTATTTATGGTTTTATTTTTAAAATAAGCGATTTGAGATTCTGAATCTTTTACTAAACTAAAGTTCAGAAATAACTTGAGGGCTTTTAACGGATGAAATTTTTATATTGCGTCTTATTTAGTTACTATGTTAAAAAATGTGGAAAAAATCGCCCATGACGGCTTGGACAATCTCAATCAGTCGCGCGGTGGCGCTTACGGAGGACGGACGCGTGCCAGTTTTTTGGCCGTGACAGTTCTCGATTTGTCAATATTTTTGACAATGATGACTTTGATGAGTCACAGTATAATAATACCAGTGTTACTGGAGAAAGCTAAAATTTTTGATAATTAAGAATTCTGAATTTTGTCTACCTATTGAAATTTAAATCGTTGGCATCCTTTTAAACTAAGACTCTACTCATGATACATTCCTCAAATATGAGACAAAACCAATGAGTTAAAATTACATTTTAATAGTACCTACATACAATCGTCTTCACTCTTTAGAAGAGCACACTGACACAAATAAATAATAAAAAATTAGGTCAGTGGGTCAAATATAGGGGCAGCTGCACGTCACTGAAAGACGATTCTGTTTACTCGGCATCTGGGCTGGAGAACATGAATCCTTGCTTACAGATGCAGATGTAAATAGAGTTATAATTGGACAAATTTTACATGAAATGTTTAACAGAACTCAGTTAAAAGACACATACATGGAATACCAATAAGGTTGCGGAGGGAAAGCTACCTATTATAAACTAGCGGCCGCCCGCGACTTCGTTCGCGTGGACCTCGTTTTACCCCCGTTAGATATGATGTTTTACCTCATTTTACCCATGTTGATAGATGGCGTTTCACGGTTTCCCCCGAATGAATATTTACGAACGTCATACCGTAGTTTGTCCAGTGCTGTAGATTTTAACCAATGACGATAGATGGCGCTTTTAGACACGTCTTATTTATTTATTGAAATTTATTTGCCACATATCGTCATAATGTTAATCTGGGTTATAAACAATAATACTGTAAAGTTTCAACAAAATCCGTTCAGTAGTTTTTGCGTGAAAGAGTAACAAACATCCAGACATCATGACATCCAGACATCCAAACTTTCGCCTTTATAATATTAGTAGGATATTTCACAATCCAAACTAATATTTACTATTTAGCATTTACTTACAGTAAATATTAGTTTGGATCGTGAAATATTTAAAATAAAAAAAAGAATAAAACAAAATAGGGTTTCAAATTACCTATCTATAATCTAATATTATAAAGAGGTAAAGTTTGTGTGTTTGTATATTTGTTAAATTGTAAGGGGTAATCTCGGGATCTACTGAACTGATTTTAAAAAATCTTTCACCAATAGAAAGCCACATTATATCTGAGTGTAATAAGTTATATAAAAACCAAAAAATTCCACGCGGGCGAAGCGGCGGGCGGAAAGCTAGTTTATTTATAATTATGTAAGAGCATAATTATTAAAGTCGAAGTCAAACATTCTTTATTTGTGTGGACCTATATTAACGAGAGATTACAAGAGATTACAAGGCGTCAAATATTTCAAGAAAAAAATTAAAAACTATTATAAAGCTAAATTTTGCTCTCATGGAGCCTTTACCTACTCTGACAAATTAAGACTTAGAGAAGAAACTAATAATAAAACTATTTAACTGTCCTGCAATGAAAAGCTTGATCGGGTACAACACCTCAAGTTATTTCAGAACTTGATTTCATTAAAAGACTCCGAATATCAAATCGCTTAGGTATCTAAAGTCAAACGATTCTGAAATGTCAAGTGGACTAATGAATAACCCATTAAGATAGTAGCGCCCTCCTGTCAATGACATACCTGGAACGATAGAGTTTTGAACAACTAATAAAAATGCTTTGTCCTAAATGACTGACGGATATCGTAGAGACCTGAAAGTTGGAAGGTGTGTTCTTTTTATGACGTAGGCATCTCATAAGAAAAGATTTTCCGAAATGGGGTCATGAAATGAAGGGGGTGAAAAAAGGGGGCAAAGTTTGTATGGGACAAAGTGATTCCTTGGTTCAATCTACTTGAAATTTAGTTTAACAATACCTTAATATAATTCATGAAAGACGTGTGGAACGGGTAGAAAGTAATTTTGGCAGTCATTTTCTTCGAAGTTGATATCAATACTACTTAGTGCCTTTGATTTAATTACTTTTTATTTTTATAAGTGTTTGAAAACTCCATGTCAGATTGTGTTCAATGTCAAGTGAAATCTCAAATTTAAATGTCTCAATCTCAATGAAGAGACTCTGTATTTATTCCTAGAATTCCCCTAACACCGTCAAATTACCCTTTCGAATTCAAAACAGTGCAGTTTCCCATCAGTCTGCTTCGTAATGACTATAAACAAAGCTCAAAGTCAAACTCTAGGGACCTCTGCTTAAACTCCCATGAGTGCACAGAGGTACGCAGGTAACCGCGTGTGATGCTCATAGTAATTTTCAATACAGAACCCCGTACAAACAAATATGTTTCTGCAATTTTAGTATGATATTTTTATTTATTAATAAACAAAGAGACTGAACAAAATTGATGCGTGTACTGATTAATGTTATTAACCACATGCAAAGCTTCGTGAATTGCAACAACTATAATTTATTATCAAAGCTCTAAATAATCGCTATACTAAGAGTAACTTATCATAAAATGTTTTTCCAATCGCTCAAGCTTCCAAGGGCCTACCGATAGGTCGGGTGACGTA